ACTATTCCAACGAATAGTCAAATCTTTAGGAAAAACAACATATCTCACACCTCTTTCAGTCAAATAATTTTGCCATTTTAATCTAAGTTGACCACTACCCCAAAAATGTCTACCCCCCCCCCCCCCCCCCCCGACTATCTCCATAGCATCTCCTAACGCTTTTAGACCGTCTTGCACACATAAATTTATAACATGGCATGCAACGTTGATGAAAAAATCTACTCATCACACTATTGGCACCACCAAGCTATAATTTTTGTTGCACCACTTGCAAGTTGCGTACCAAAACCCGGTTTGTGCGTCCTTCCACTTATCAAAATTGTTTTTCATTAGTTCAGATTTACTTTTTTCTTACCGGGTTGGGATGAGGTGGGCTCGTCCGCCTCGTCGTGGTTGCCGTCACCATCGCCCGTCTCCTGTTCAAGTTCATCCGCATCGTCATCCTCGAGCTCATCTTCGTCAATGGTTGTCGGGATTTGTTCTTGTTTGAGAAAGCGGTTATTATGTCGGGCCAATTATTGTTGTAGTTGTTGTTCGGACATCGCATCTCCATCCCTCCTTTGGTAACCCGTTTCAAAATCATCTCGGCTTTGAGATGAAGAGCCGGCAAGTTCTTTACCTTTGCGGGATTTCTTCCTCCCAATCTCGTTCCTTCGGTTGCGCTCGAGGTTACCCATATCAACCGAATATCTACCACCTTCCATCTTAAAAATGTAACAAATATTAATTTGCAACAAATATAATAATGAGTACAAAAGTAATGCAACTAATTAAAACTATTTTAATTAATATTTCAAACTAAATTTGAGTAAAGGTTCAGTTTGGTCCTTAAAGTTGCAAAAAGGGGGTCAAATAAGTCCTTATATAGAAGATTTTGTCCGGACGTGCCATTTGAGGTGGCTCCCGGTGGAATTTTTTGATAAATATTTTGAGCATCTTATTCATTAAGTCTAGTTTACTCATACCAAATTTCAGCTAAAAATTCAATCGGGAAGACATTCAAATGAATTCTTGAAGATAACTGTGCTTTTAACGGCACAGTTATCTTCAAGAATTCATTTCAATGTCTTCCCGATTGATTTTTTATCTGAAATTTGGTATGAGTGAACTAGACTTAATGAATAATATGCTCAAAAACTTTCATAAAAAAATTCCACCGGAAGCCACCTCAAATGACACGTCCGGACAGAATCTTCTATATAAGGACTTATTTGACCCCTTTTTTGCAACTTCGAGGACTAAACTGACCCTTATCCCAAACTAATTTAGTGAAAACTACTTTAATAAAATGTGAAGTACTTTAATTAAGTAATGAATTAAAGTGTGACTCTAAAATAAAAATTTAAATTCGAACTAATCAATAGTATTTTTTTAATAAATACTTAAAACTAACAAGTGTGACTTTAACTAAAATGTGAGTAATTAAATTATAGCAACTTTTCAAGTACTTTAATTTAGTGAAAACTACTTTAATAAAACGTTAAGTACTTTAATAAAATTAATTGAACTGCTCTTTTGTCCTTCAAATATAAATTCAAACTATTATAATGTGACTTTAACTATAATGACAATTAACTAGTTTTTTAAAGTAGAGACAAAGGTAGAAATTAATGGGAATACTAATTAACTAATTTAATGAAAAATGTAACAATTAGTGGGAATACTAATTAAATAATCAAGTAATGTTAATACAAAATGTAAGTAATAAGACAAATGTATGAATGTGTATACTAATTAATGGGAGTAAATGAGTAATAGAATGATTTTAACTAATATTAATTAAAGTGTAACTAATATATAATATATTGTGTAAGTATATATATATACTTAATATATTAATTAGACGTAATAAAAGTAATATATTAGTAAAAATCGAATATATATATATATATATATATATATATTAATATACTAATTAATATAGTTCGAATTAATTTGATATAATTCCAACTATATTAGTAGATATAAGAATTGTATAACTAATATATAATATAATGTTTATAGTATATAATATATAAGTATACTACTATAAGATGAGTAATACACTTATATTTAATATTTTAATATGTAAAGTATATATTAAGTAGATGTAGAATGTATGTATTAAGTAGATATAAGTAGATAATAAGTAGAGATTAAGTAGATAAGAAATATAAGTAATATAGTATATGTATATTTATAAGTAGATAATTTATATATAAGTAGATATAATAATTGTATAAGAATTAAATAGTAAAATATAATGGAGATTGGAGAATAAGAGTAAGTAGATAAGAAATATAAGTAGAGAAGTAGATAATAGTATGTATTAAGTATATACTAATAGTAGATAAAGTATATTTAATACTTTAATATATAAAGTATATATTAAGTAGATGTAGTATGTATTAAGTAGATATAAGTAGATAATAAGTAGAGATTAAGTAGATAAGAAATATAAGTAACATAGTATATGTATTTATAAGTAGATAATTAATATATAAGTAGATATAATAATTGTATAAGTATGAAATAGTAAAATAAAATATCATGGAGAATAAGAGAATTTGAGAAGATGAAGATGGAGATGATGAGAGAGTAGAGAGTAGGATTTAGGAAGAGTTGGAGAAGATGTGTGGAAAAATGTTTAAAATTCGGAGTATTTATAGTTTTTTTACCCTTCCCCCACCCCACCCCACCCCTTCCCCCCCACTCCCCAAAATGGCCCAGACCCCCCCCCCTACAACCCACCCAAACGGCTATTTTGGCCAAAAAAAGAAAAAAAGAAAAAAAAAATAGCCGTTGTGACCCGGACTTGGGCCCGACCCGGCCGGGCCGGGTCACCTTTTATCGGAACCGAGCCCGCCCCCCGCTGCACCCCGGTTCGGGTAAACACCCGGTCCCGGACCGCTGGACCGGGCCGGTCCCGGGCCCGCACAGTACCGGGCCGGGCCGGGTGGCCCGAACCAAATCCACCACTAGTTAAGATGTGTAGTTTCATCCTAAAAAGTCAACCTATTAGGAAGAGTAGCTCAGATCTTAATATATGCCGTCATTCATTTTTTTGTCGTTCGTCATTGTCATTTTTTATAACCGTATCGTTATTTTTCATAAGGGGCCCACCTCATGGATATGAATCAGTTTGACTCTGATACCATGTTAAGATCTAGAGTTCCATCCTAAAAGATCAACTTGTGAGGAGAATAACTCAGATCCTAACATAGCACCCTATTATTTCCTAAAATACAGGTGTGGGACTTTAACAATATATCACATACTCTGGAGTAAATATGCATGGAAAAGATCATTAAGTTGTGAGTTTACGATCAACTGACGCAAATATGTACAAGTTTAGGCGTAAAAGTTGAAGGTTAAGGATGTTTTCTTTTAGACTGTTTTCAGTCCCAGACCAGATCAGACCAGACCAGACTTCCGTAGTTATAAAATACACAGAGGCCAGACATTTACCAGACCAAACCAGACTAGACCAGATCAGACCAACAAATTTCAGTCCAAAAGAAAACATCCTAATTTCAGTCCAAAAGAAAACATCCTAATTTAGGCATGAAATTGTGAAAACAAATGTTAATGACTATTATTTTTTATACCATTATAAAATACTCCGTATTAATTATTAAAAAGTTTAAATCGCATTTTCAGTCCAGACTTCATCCGCTTGAGACTTGGTTTCATAGTTTTCCGGCTCAAACTGAAAACTGTACTAGCCGTTTTAAAATTAAAGTAGCTCTTTATCGAATTATAATTATTGTTGTTTTTTTATCGTATTATTGTTGTTGTTATTACCCTTGTTATTTAATTTTTATTATTATTGTAGTAATCATATTGTGCACGGTGGGATTAGAGTCACATCATGCGAATATATATTCATAATTGCAATGTACACTTTTGCACTTGAGGATCATCAAATATTAGTTTTAAAAAACACTACTAATCAAATTTAACAGAATGAGTAGCGGGGAATACAGGTGGATAGTTCACCCCACCCCTCTTTGCTTAGATTTATAATTCAAATGACTTTAGAGAAAGTGAATCACATTATTTACCTCAAGCCAAATGGATCACTAGCCCATAAATTGCATATGCTTTAGTAGCTACGCATTATATTTTTGGCTCATTAGCTTTATGTGTCCTATGGAGTAAGTTTTGAGTTTTTTTTGTCATTTTTAGTCTTCTGACTATTATGTCACTGATACTTTTAATATTTGACTTTGAATTCACACTTTTAGTCCTGACTATTGTGCGAAAGACACTTTTGGTGCCCGTTGATGCCCGTCAACTATAAATCTATAATAATAGTGACATTTTTAGTCCTCCATTTATTATGTTAAAATTATAGTTGAATGACTAAAAATGACAATTGATAATACTCAGGGACTAAATGCGGGAAACTTTGAAGTTGAGGACTAAAAGTCTAAAAGTGTCTCTTCCATAATAGTCGAGGACTAAAAATGGAAAAATTGAAAATCGAGTACCAAAAGTGTCACTCACAGAATAGTTGGGGGAGCGAAAGCGGCAAAAAATCCAAATAATAATTCAGCAGATGACCAATTTAGCCTTTTTATGCGTTTTTTTGTTTTCCAATGAAATGTATTCGATCAAGTAAAAGATTTTTATAACTAATTCAGACATTTAAAAAAATGACGTCTTTAACAATTCTAAGCCTTACCAATCATGTCGTTCATGTGGTTAGAAAATGTAAACTCAGCTTTTCTTTTAATTTGGGTATCAGCAGTTTGCCACCCATTATGACATCTTGGAAGTTAAAAAAGAAAAGAAAAGTGAATGCTTTTGTTTTGAGCTGCCCAGACAAAGAGGGGCCAATAACTTTTGTTCTTGAAGCTTTCTTTCACCAATTTATGTCTATTCATAGATAACAGAAGTATAGTATTCATTAAGTTAAGTATCATAAATCATGAATGAGGTGGCCAAAACAAAAAGTATAAACTGTACTACTACTAAGATTATTATGTACATAGTAATTCCACTTTTGTCTTACACATTTTGTGCTATTTATGAAAGGGTACACCTAGCTTTAGTGCAATGTGTCTGTCTGTTTCTTCATTGGCAGGAAAAGCATTTGGCTTGAGTAAGATAAACAGCAACTCTGGGATTTTAGTATTTTGCTGCAGCACAGAAGTATACCATTGCTAGCTGCTTTCTTTGGTTCTTTACATGTCTGACTGAGATAGTGAAATTGACACCTTTGCTGCTTTCTTATTGTGATCATTCTCCTTTGAAGGTAAAATGACTTAAATCCATTGTTTATCTGGTTCACAATATCACATCCTTCTTTCTGCATCAGTCTTTCTGCATCAGTATTTGTTCTGAGAAAAAACTAAAATAGAAAATAATGCCCATGAAGAGATGAAAAAGTGAATGAAATAGTGCATGTGCAATTGTCCATGTGCAGAGAGCCAGAGATCTCTTCATTTCAAAGATTAATCCCCACCCTCACCCTCACCCCACCCATATATTTGCTGATGTTGATTTGTTGTGTCTTCCTTGCAAAGAATAGTTTCTAAATTCTCATCATTAAAATGGGGAATTTACTACTTTTTCTTGATGGACACAAACCACTATAATGATGTTGTTCCATAACTTAGTAGAGCAATGCAAGGTCCATTTAAGATATGACACATAGAGTTAACCCCCCCCCCCCATCTCCTTCAAATTCTAAGGTTCTGCGGGGGAAATGAAATGATGGACCCTCATGTTTGAAATATTTCTCTCATGTCAATTAAATAAGAAACAATAAACCGATGTCAATACATAAAATATCAAAATTCTATTATCAAGTTAATCTTTTATGATGAAACTCAAACTAGTAATATGTTATCAAGACATGAGCTCTTGTGAAAGTGCATCTAAGAAAAAAAATAAGGTCCAAAGTCCAAACAATGTCTTGGAGTTGGACCATCATAATACGGAGTATATCTCATTATTTAGAAAACTGTTGATTAATATTATCTTCATCCCATTTTATGTGTCTTGTTTTGATCTGACACAATTATTAATAACGTGACTGAAAAAGTAAAAGCGGTGGCTGGAGTTTGTATAATAAAATGAAATATTGTGAACCACATATTTCTTTCCAAAAAGAAATGAGATACTTATTTTGAAACAATCCAAAAAGGAAAGTCAAATAAAATGGGATGTAGGGAGTATTTCATTTTTCATATATCGACTAAATACCAAACAATAAACTAACATACTACGTATAAATATTAGACTACTCTTCTCTAAGGTTACCCATTAGGCCATTAGGAAGTAACTTCATATCTTAATAGTTAATACCATACATCACTTTCATGTCATATTCGGAGCATTTATTTCCGCTAAAACAATAGTAATGGAAGAAAATGAAACGTGGGGAAATAAATAGAGGTATTAGGTCATCTCTTTGTCGCATCAATTTTTATTTATTCCATGACCCACACATGCCATTTAAGCTCTCAAATTTGTGTTATCCATATGAGCATAGAGGGGGGTGGAGGAATACATCTCATACTTATTGTGAAAAGAAAGCATAGCAGACATGAGTGAGCTGAGGTATGAAAGAACAAGGGGGGCATGGAACATATATAAAACAAGTGCAGAACAGCCTAGTCCATCCCAGGTGGAAGGTGGTGGTGCATGGAGAAACTTTGGGACGTCAGCGAATGCCATTTGTTTCGGGCTTGTAGCTACAGCCATCTTGATCTCCATGTTTCTCATCATGGCCATTTTTGAGCATCTCTTCAAGCAAGGAGGGGCTGAAGGTCATATGCACCACCACAGCTTAGAATCTGGAACAACAATGCACAAGCTTGGAAGATCACCACAAACAGTAAGTAATCCACCTTTAAACCTCAAGATTATATGATGGAGTTTCGTTTGGCTTACAAGAAACCCAAAAGAATTTATAAATTGTGATCTTGTTATTGTACAGATACCAAGATTTTCTTCACCGGACTTCACGGTCTTAATGCCTGGACAGCAATATCCGACCTTCATTGCCCAACCTGCACCGCTTCCTTGTCAAAGGGAAGGAGTTTGTTGGCCTTCCCATGTACATAATATTTCATAAACAGAATGCTAGTAATGTGCAAGTAATGGTATCTGGAGTCTGTCTTCAATTTGCTCCATCATTTAAATCTTAATCCCTAGTCTGTCTGTCATGAAGAGACAAACAAACTGGGAAAGAAAAATAGAAAAGCCTCACATTGTATTAGAATAGAAAAAAAAGAAGTCAACAATAGTCAGACTTCAGAATTCTATTTTGACTAGTCATATGCATAGCTTAAACATATTGTTATGCGTACAGTGAAAATTAAAAAATAAAAAATAAAAAGCAATGGTAAAACCATCATCTCGAGCACACTAATGGAGGAAGGTTCTCCTTATCTCCTATCTGTTTACTCAGGTGTTCCTTCATCAGGGTGTATAACAGTAAGTAAAGAAAACTTGACCTTCAGAGAGATTCTCCCCTTTTCAACCATGAGTCTTGCCCCAGACACAACCCAATAACCAGGTGTTTCTAGGGGCCCTCTACTCATCTCAGTCGTATCAACAAACTTCAACAGCTTAGGCGCTTGAATAGGCACTGGGGGACCACCCGGGTAAACAGCAGAATTAACATTCAAATCAACAGGCTGTGTAGGTGGTTGCTTCTGAACTGTTGAGAAATGGTGACTGATCAAAGTTGACATCAACCCGGATTTGCGGCCTAGTCCCTGTGACGAACCGTCCCACTCTGACTGCCTCACCATAGTGGCCCCCACGACGGATGAGAATTTGAGTCTTAAGAAAAGGACCTTTTTCAACCCGTAGCCACCGACTTCGAGTTTTGCTCCAGTGACTATGGAAAGATCCTCATCAGAATCAACGGGTGCCGTGCAGACATGGGAGAAGTTCTTCCACTGAACTTTCTCATGGTACTTGCGGTCGTAGGTTTCTCGGCAGAAGTTTCCGTGTGGATCATCTTGAAGTTGGAATATATTAGGAAGAGACGAGAGGTGCTGCAAGTGGATGGCCAAACAATTGCTCTTTTTGCCTTCAAGGTACAACCGAAGGCCGGTCACAGGCCTCTTGCCAACATCGACCTGTCATTAGTGAAATGTACATAAATTTAGATCCTACCCTGCAGGGTCCACAAATAAGAAATGCTATGGTTGAATCTCCTGAAAATACTATAGTTTTGGTTTAATCTACTGAACAATTTATTTAACAATATTTAAAATATATTCAACGCATGTTCCCTAGATTATCTTCCAACTTTATTCTTCCGCAAGTCCCTATATTATCACCTATTTCCTTTTATCATTTTAGGGAAACCATATACAGTTCATATTATTTCTATTTTTTGAAATAATAAATCTTAGCCAAACCATTTTTATATTTGTAAGAACTCGTGCCTGCTCAAAGTGGGGAATAATTTAGGGATGGGAAGAGTATTTAATTAAATTAAAGAAAATAAATCTACTGGTAAACCTAAAAATATTAATTTAAACCAGTCTACCCAAAAAGCAAAGTAACATATGCACTAGCTTTTCTTATTAGTTATTATCGGTTGATTCAGCTAGGGCAGTGCCAATAAGTGTTCAGTGAAAATGGCTGATGAACCAAAACTAAGGCCTACAATATGGGCTCATAATGTCAGGTTGGACTATTGCGTCTGAACTTTATCATTCAAAATGATTACCAGGATGTGAAATAGGATCGCAATTAATGCCCAACTTATGGATGCCATCTAGGGGAGAAAAAAATAATTTCCGGTTTACATTAACCTGAGCATAAAACTCCCAGGTTAATAATACAACAACAACACCATTACCCCAGTACTTCAAAGGCTCCCACGTTAATAATGAAGTGGAAAAGTAATATACTGATAGAAGAAGTATCATTGAGCTTTACCGGAACAGTGTTTACATACAGCTTTGGACCAAGAAAACTAAACTGTAACGAAGCTGAACTTTGCTTCCTTCTCTGTGGACCGAGAGGGAGATCATTGAATACCGGAGCCCATTGCCTTGGAAGCTGAAATTCCAAAAACTGGTGAAGCTCTTCGATTGGTGGTTTATCTGAAAGCCGAACCAAGTGCCAACAAATATTGATATCTATAAATTTCTATATAAAGGATTCAAAGATGAAAATTTAAATCTTCTTTCTTCAGATTTTTTACAAGTAATATAAAATGACCCAACTCACAACGCAAGTACAAATTGATAGCATGACTCAAAAATCCACTTCCAGGTATGCCATTCAGAAGTGATGTTATGGGGATGAAGGACATAGAGATTGCATCTGGCTCTAACTGGACAGTATTTAACCACTCATTATGGGTTAGGTTTCTGTAATCACTCCCACCTCTCCTTTTGCAAATGCTAACAATGTCCTGCAATTAAGAACACAAAATGACAATTTGTTTATAGAAAAGGCATGTTTACCAGAGATGAGATAGCTTGCATTAGTGACATACCTCCTTGTACACGTAAGAACTTGATGCACTAGCTTCTGCGAATCTCAGACGCGTCTCCCTAGCTTCAAACTACAGCAAAATGTTTTGACTTTAGATACAAAAACAGATATTTCAACAAAAAGTAAGGGTTTATTGCATACCTCCCCTGAGATTTACTTAAATTACCATTTGATCCTACTTATGGACCCTCAAGGTTTTTGAAAAATAAAAATAGCCAGGCTTTCAGAAAATGAAACCGAAAGATGGTAGGACATGATTATATTAGTTAAAATGGGGGGATTTGCAGACTAAATTACCATCAACGTAAACCTTATTGTGTGTGCGTCATGCCTGAAAATCGTAAGCCTCAACATGGCACGATTTGAGACACTCAGAGACCTACTATCATATTTGGAGGGAAAATCACCAAGGCACGCCTTGAGGCATAATTGCATTGCGCAATTTCAAACGATGGTCCAGAAGATACATTTTTATGAGAAATAAATAAACAATTTAGCCGATATTGTACTCCTTCCATTCACTACTACTCACTTAATTAGATTTCACTATTACTCTCTCCAGTAAGGTTTTCACAGAAATTAAGAGTAAAGTTGTAGGGGCAGATTATAATGCAGAAAAAGTAAAAATGTAGGGAAAAGGTAAAAGAACGTGACAAAGTAAGAATATTTGTGTATTTCAGTACTGAAAAAGTAGGAAAACTTGCGGTGATAATGCGCTAAGGTACTATACCTTGTCATTCTGATAAACCTGTTCTGAATCTGATCTATATTGTTCGTTAGTATCTGAAAACCTCTTATCTGCTATTTCCTTTAACCTTTTCTGGACATCAGCAGGTTCAAGTGATGAGGAGCGTTGTTGTTTTGAATATATAACATCCTTTCCCCCCATCTTTACACCAACAATAACGTGAGTACCAAATTTCTCAATGAACCTGGAATATGAAAATAACTCTACGATATGAAGTCCTATAGCAAATTCAATATTAAACTATTGTGTAGGGAATGATACAAAAAAGTCAATGTTATATACTCTCTGTGTTCCTATTTATTAGTCTTCAACTCTTTAATGAGCAAAATTGATTATTTACTTTGAATATGTCATTTTACGGAATTTACGCACATTAATGATTTTCTTTTTCAAAGACTAACTATTTTTGGCTTGGGAATATGATTGAATAAAGCAAAATGGCTCACTAAACTGTCTGCGCTTCTTTGTTATGAAGTAACAGTCAGTCTATGCAATTTTCGACGCGATTTTCACTATGGGTCATTCGGAAACAGTCTTTTTGTGCTTTAGTACAGGGGTAAAACTGCGTACATCCGACCCCCCTTACCCCACCGTAGGTGGGAGCCTTTGCGGCACTGAGGTGATGGTGATGATGATGATGAATGATTTTCTTTTTCAAGTTTTACCCTTCTTATACAAACTACATTTCAAAAGAATTTATGCAGCAGTAAAAAATAAAATTGTTGCCAACCTCAAGTTTCAGTGTTTCACCTTGCTAATGCTGCAGGATCCCATGTTGATGGGACTTCTTTCTTCACATGATCACTTAACAACATATGAGATTTTTCAAGCGCAATAGAGTACAATGTGATGAAGACCCCATCAAAAACAAGATTTTTTGTGCATGCAGCATCCTTCTGCCAGCAGCCAGAAAAATCAAACATTGCATTGAAGAGCCCTGTGGGAATTTTACCAGTCAAAGATATTTCCTGATTGAAGTGTTCTGACATCTGGACAGGACAAATAGTAAATTAAGCATAAGAATGGTATGCAGAATTGCATTATAGGTTTAACATAAAAAAATCTTATGCCCAGTGAGCTTGTGAAATTACATGAAGAAACTCACATGCCAAAATTACATGCCAAAATCTTAAAGAACAGTGCACATAATGTAGAAACTCACATGCCAAAATTACTAAAAAAAATGGTTAGCCCAAAAAATTAAGTAGCATGAGCACAATGCAACAGTACCTGTTGGAAAGACAGAACATCAGATCGGAACCTTGTGCGTTCTCCTTTATCACATTTAATAGACTTGGGCACGTTCGGGATTAAAATCCCACCCGGAAGAACAATATCTTGGCATTTGTCCTCGTTGATCTCAATCAGACGCTTATTGCATGGACCACCTTTACAGTATTTAAGCCTCAAGTCTAAGGATATATCATAGCCACATCCTATCGACTTAATAGCAGCCTTGGCTGCTTCAGCAGCAGGAAGCTTTAGTGCCATTTTTTCAGCTAATCAATCTCCAGTTGCCCAAGAACACCAATAAACATTTTAACAAAATCAAACTTTTAACACGAAGCTATGCAATGCGTGCAAATTCTGTATTACTTTCCAAGTCAATAAGTAGGCAAGATGTTTCCTTTGAGCTTCAAAGTACAACGGACATAAGAGCCCTTCACAATCCAATAACTTGTAGAAGCACCAGCGTGTGAAATTGGCAATTCCGTACCAATGAAGGAACCTCGATTCTATGTTTCCAGCTACCCTCCTAAATTTTCACTGCGTAGTCGAATCCAGGTCAGATGTATAGTTGATTGAACACAAACTAAGCAATAATAATAATACCCAATAAGCCAGCTCACATGAAACTGCGAGCCGTTTTGAACTCCTATAATCGAACTTGGACCTTCTTTGGAGCTCAGAACTGAAATTGATATTGTTATCAGCTCAGATCTATGGAGACTAAATCAGGGATGAGAGGTCGAGTAGTTAGGATGCCAGATGAAGTAGTTGAGAATCTTGAGATATGGGATTATGGGCATATACGACTCAAATTAGGGTGGACAAAATTTCAGTCTAGAAATAGCACTGAAAATGAGCAGGTTTACCTTTACTAGACTGTTTGATGGAGAGGTGTTTTTGTATAACAAACAGTGTCAAAAAGGAAAAGTAATACCCGTAGTAATTACTTCTTCCGTTCCTTTTTAATTGCAACAGTCAACATTTTACGTTTGTCAACGCACAAGTTTGATCATTAATATCTTTCATTCCTTATTAGTGAAAAAATTAAAAAATTCATATTTTGAAAATTTAGAATGAGAAGAATTTAATAATATTTTTTGAAAATTTAATTTATAATACATTAATGAATAAAATATAGTCAAAGTAGAATATGTAAATAGTGCAAAAAGTCCAATGTTGCGATTAAAAGAGAACGGGGGATAGTATTTAAAATAGAAGTTAGACTATTTGATGGAGAGGTGTTTTTGTATAACAAAAAAAAAGTGTAAAGTAGTTCGATCATTTGTAGTGATAGGAAATTAGGAGTCCAAAATGTTAAAGTTAGAGATTTGAGATTCGTAATTAGCAGCCGTTTGATAACACTGTTTTTCAACTTATCAGGCTTATTAGCCAAACACGTAATTTTTGTTTTCGCCCGCTGAATTGTGTAATAAGCAGAAAAGTAAGGTTGGAGTTACTTTTCTGGCTGAAGTTACTGTAGATAACCATTTTAGCTATTTTTACATACTACCTTCGTTCTTAAATAAATGCAACATATGAAATTTTACACTATTCACATGGTCTACTTTAACTACGTTTTATTTATTTATGTATGAATATATTTTTATGAAAAAAATATTGTTAAATTTGTCTCATTGTAAATTTTTAATATATATTTTTTTTAAATTTCTTTACTAATATAAATTTATATATATTAGTGGTCAACAAAGTTGTGTCTCGGTAAGTGTGAAATGTTGACCGTTGCATTTATTTAAGAACGGAGGAGTATATTTTTTTCTTTATTTTATTAATAAAATATATTTTAAAAATAAATTTTTCTTAAATCAGCAGAATCAACCAATGCAGCCACTTCAGTCAGAACTTCATAAATATCAACAGAATCAGCCAAAACAATCGATTTTTGTGCTACCAAACGGGCTCTTAGTGTAGTGGTGGATTAAACGGGGATTAAAAGTAGAAAAGGTGATGGAAGGTGTTAAAAACGGATTGGGATCCTCTGCCCGACTAGGACGGTGCCTTGCGCATCGGACGGTCGGGCAGTAACAAAGCAGGCCTCGAGATTAGCGAAAAAGTGGAGCCCAAGATCTCGAACCGTTGAATTGTTGATCGGACGACCCGGAAGAAGCAAGGCATCCTACCTTACTCTAAAGTAAGGTAGAGGCTCCGGATCCGTTAAAAACAAGGGTGGATTGACACAGAGAAAAAAGTAAAAAGAAAAGAAAATGAGAAAATTGAGGAAGAAGGGACGACGAGTGGAATAGCAGATGTAAGTGGTGATGTCATAGTGATGTCATTTTTGCATTAAAAACTACAATTTTTATTTAAACGATAATAACTTTTTTATTTATATTCCAACATTTTCAAAACATAGATGACAATTCATAAAATTTAATGATCTTCATATGACAGCAATATTACATATATAAAGTGAAGAAAAATCCAAAGTTTTAACTGTTGTGGTTTTCTTGAGTTTAAAAAACATGAAATAGAAATTTCTAATTAATGGAGTCTCCAAATAACCTAATATTACATCATCTCATTTTTTTTATGAAAGCTGAAAAACATTAAAAAAAAAAAAGAGAGAATACTCAAATGGATTACGAGTTTAATGAAAATGCTCATAAAATGTTCACACATGATTTAATTGAATGTTTAGAAGAGGATATGATAATAACCGAACGTTACTTGAACTAAGTTCATTTTCTATTAACAAAAAAACGTTAAACAAATTAATGAAATTTATATTTTTTACATTGCAATGTGTATTTTTTATTTCATAATTATTCTGGAAAAGAATAATTATGTTTTACTAAACACTGTTTTCACATGGACGGAGACCATATTTAACAATTTAGACTCCCTACCCCTACAAATGGTCTTAGTAGATATATTTTTCTTTGTTTTTTAGCTTTTGATTTTAAATTGTTCAACTTTAAGTAGAAACATCCATTTAAAAACAATTTTTTTTAACTTTTTTGAAAGAAAATGTAAAAAAGTGTTTTTGAGGTGATGACAAACACCCCCTAAACCATTTATTCATTTGTCTCAAACTTAAATGTTGTTGTTTGGAATGAGCATGTGATCCATCCCAATATCCTAAAGTGAACTCTCGAATTAAATTGCACTCTTAAATTTATTTTTATCATTTACTTATGTTGAGGTTAATTTGTGCCCAAAAGTCCAATACACAGTCTTGTTGAGTGTTTCGTGAACTAGAACTAATAAAATGCTTAAACAAAGAAATAAAGAAATTATTTGTATTGGGCTCGAGATAATTAGCTTGGCGATTACCATACACTCATCACTTAAGCTAATTTCCCTTACTAATACACTTGCTACAATGAGAGTAGAGTAGATGCTTTTAATAAATGATAGTAGGAAGAAGTTGGATGTTGGTTACTTGGTAGTTGGTTGGCCTTCCTCATTCACTCAGTGGTCATGTGCCGAACCGGAAGATATCAAGCCAAATACATGCACTGATGCACATTGAATGATCTTCCTTCTAAATCCATAGTTTTTGTACCAAAGAAGTGTTGGTCAGGCGAAAGACTGTCCAGTACACAAACGAAAATCATGTCGCCTTACGGTTGACAATTCCTTTGACCTTGGACACAGAGGCACGGGATGGGCCGATGTGGGCTGCTAGAGTGCTAGTCGGCTTCCCTCAGAAGCTCGCATGCATTAAGCTTCAATAGAGCGAGTTGGCTCACATATACCGCTTTAGCAGAGCAAACCTTATGTGAAGTGAACTTGGTTGGAAAATTGGAATTTTTTATACTCAACTCTCAAGGGGCCTACATTATGTGTAGTGGCATCACAACATCACCACCCCGTGAGTGATTTACATCCCGTTGCAAATCTTTATACCATCGTATATACGTATTACATTTGTTCAATATCAGATATTCAGATGTTTCACTTTCTTTTTGTAACCCCATATTACTTGTTTCACTTTATTTGGAAATGAATCCAGAGTAAAAACATACTATCGTATATTTCAGATATAAAAGTGCACCATAAAGGTCTTCTACTCTTCTGTAAACATCAAAACTTTCTCTTCAAAAAAAACTTTCAAACTGCTTGAAAATCCGAGTAGGATAAGTAATACGGAGTATGTAATGAAAAAAAGGATGACACTCGTGAGGACCCCTAGAACAAGCCCGACGGTTATCTAGGAGAAGGTAAACTTTGTCCACTCATCCAAAATGGGGCAGACTCTAAGGGTATACACGGGCAACAGGTATAGACTTTTTCTGGAGGACAATTGCACGGATAACTCTTGCATAGTTTCTTTTAACAATATTTACTTTTACTGTGTAAACAGCCATTCTCCTTGTGCACAATGTTGGAAGAAATATCCAACTACTATATAACTGAACTCCATACCAGCAAAGTGGAAAGTGGTAATATCGGAGGGGAAAGCAAATACATGCAACTATAATGATGTCATATAGACATACTACAAACAAATCAGCTTCTCTTGGCTCTCGGCATTGTTCTCCAAAATGAACCATACTCTGCCTCTCAAAGGTAGGTAAATGATCACACAGGTTGCACTGATATTGGTACGTGGATATAGGTGCTCGGATACACAAATAAAGGTACACGGATACATCATTTTATTTTATCTTAGGTCTACTTAGGATCAGTGCATCATATAGATCACACTACCACCAACTCTGCTTACGAATTGGACATAGATCAACTCATTAGCTGCCCAATTCAAAGCTTCCAGGCAAATTCGATTCCAAAATACCTTAAGCACACAGCAGAAAAGAAATTCCAAACTGAACTTAAGAGCGCAAGGCCATGAAGAAGTTCTGCCTCCGAGCATGTTCAGGAATTAGACGACGAAGAGTTTCAGGAGGGATGCTAGTGAGCTCTACAGCGAAACAAGAGAAATATCATATGCACATGAACTTCACATGAAACATTAAGGAAAACTTCATGATCATTAAATAAACCATTTTTGTAAGCGGTGAACATAATATATCATTTGACAAACTCTTTATGCAGCCCAATTGTATGTAGAGAAATTATATAAATATGACTAAAGCACTAAGTAGTTAAATCGCTACTCGGTGGCAACTCGGGGCCGAGTAGCGAGTAGGACCGATTACTCGTGATTGCTCGCCTTGTATTAATTAAATTTAAAAATATAGATACCCCAAAAATCTAGTACGTAGTAATATATTAGTCTTTTAGTTTTAAAATATGAACAAAAAATTCTAATATAAAGTATGGAGTAGCAAAAATCATATAGCATTCTTTCTAAGTTTCCAAGAAAATCAATCTAATAATTTTGTCCAAAAGTAACCTTCATTGTTAGTCTGGAATGAGCTGATAAGTGAAATACTTTTAAACATACACTTTTAAATGTTATTTTTCCCTTTTTTAAAATACCCCCACATTATTTATATATTCTACAGTATCCCACTATAGTTTAAACTTTCCGGATTCAACCCAAGGAAAAAAACAGTGGTTGTTGAGTAACTAGGCAAGTCGAACTTGCTAATGAGTTGAGAAAATCGCCGAGTACTAGGGGAGTGCAAAAATAGAACGGGCAAGTAAGAGTGCTAATCGGTAAGGCCACCCCCAAGTCGCGATACTCGCCTAGTACTCACCGAGTACTTGCCGGAAGCGTTCCGGAATCTCAGAAACTTCAAATTCCCATCCAGAGACCACTTCCGCAATTAAGAAGAAATAGGAAGCATATTTCCCTTATTAATTAACGCTCTGGAAACTAGTGGGTTTTTAATAGATTTAATCACAGCAATCAGATAATATCCTGAGGTCCCCGTGTGTCCATCTCCCCAGTGGGCAAAAAATGTGAGTATAATGTTCACTGATAACACCAAATACTTCTAATATGCCTTTTCATTAAACTATAAAGTATAAACAAAAAGTAAGACATGCTGTTAACTTATGCATTGCTTCCAGAACTACAATATTATTATTTAGACAAACCTGAGCTAAAGCCTATAAGTTATCAACCAAATAAAAACCAGTGACACATACCTTGAGGTTTGAAATTAAAGAGTGGGGGGAGGGGGCGCCCGTTAGGCAGGCGAGTCTCCAGATCCCTCAACTCATCAAAGAAAGGATGAACACAAGCTTCTAACTGCATTGCCCAGAAAATGAAATTGTAAAAACTTCAGAATCAGAGTTGTTGAATTGGATCATTAGCATGTAAACAAACTTACAGCAGTGCATCTCAAATGTGGGGAGTACTGGAAAAAACGAGAAATCAAGTCAACCGCTTCTGGAGGCAAACGTTTTTGAAAAACCTAAATCATATATAATAATACATAGAGGTAAACTTTATGGACATGAAATATCATGTTTATGAATAAAGAAAGCATGTGAAGGGTAATGTTTTTTGCATGTAGATAGGAATTACATACAGACGAGCAAAATTATTACTCAGGTCTAGATCAATTCTTTAATGAACAGGAAATATCATGTATTCATGTATAAGAAAATATGCTCCTCTTACTATTTATTGATCAGGTCTAAATCAATTCTTTAATTACCTCTCTTTGTGTGGTCTGAAAAGGATTATCCATAAAGTAATAGTTTCTACAACTTCTACGGTTGGCTGCTATGCAAAAGATAAGTGTATAGAATCTCCCCCAAAGTAGACGCATCATTTAATGACCTTTGTACTCAAAATTTCTACCTCAAGTGTGAGTAATGGAAGAGAATTGTTATCTGTCATCATAAGTTCACTACACCAAACTACAAGAGGGAAAAGATTACCTTGTTCATTACGTCATAGAAAGTATTACCTTGTGCCATGGATGGGGTTTTATCTGTGGAAACTTAAATTCAGTATAGTTTGGGTTCATGCATTTGATCTCCTCCCTGGTTGGTGTTCCTAAGACCTGGATAAAATTCATCAAAATGCATAGTAAAAGAATGCCCTTTAGGGACATATATGTTAAGGATCTAAGAGTGAGTGAGCAACTACCTTTATAATCTCCACTAACTGATCAACCCCACTCTCTCCAGGAAACAAAGGCTGCACATGAATATTATTTGAAGTGGTGAAACAATTAGGAGTTCCACTTCATCACTCATCATATCATAACATCAATAGGATACCTGTCCAAGAAGTAGCTCAGCCATCACACAGCCTGTGGACCAAATATCAATAGATGTAGTGTATTCATTGGCGCCGAATATAAGCTCAGGGGCACGATAATATCTTGAACAGATGTATGACACATTGGGTTCACCTTTCACCTAAAGTATTGTCAAATAAGCATAGCTTAGAGAACTTCTCTTAAAAGATAATGATGGTTGCTTACACAACACCAAGTATGTACCAAAACTTTTGCACTTCCGAAATCGCACAGTTTCAGCTGATGTGTATGTGGGTTCACCTATAGGTAAAAAAAGATTACTTCAGATCATTAAACAATGCAGTTGCAGGGGTTACTTGAGACAACAGCATGCAAGGTTGCATAAATGCTAAACTGCATGTTATAAAGCATCACACTTCAGATTTTAAAATGACTCATTTTATTTGTTTCAGAGTAAGCTCGTAGGAAAGCAGTAAGCACCAATTAGGTACCACCCAGATGAAATAAAGAGCCACTGCAAAACATAAGATAACACCCCCCATTCTAGGCATATTTTTTTGAGCTATGGAATGAGATTAAAATAGCTTACATGGGTTTGCCTATTAACAGTGTTGTGGTTTCAAAGCAGTTTTTAGCTTATCATGGCAAATCTCCTTTAAATAGCTGATTAAATAAACTCAAAATCCTTCAATAATGTACAATTCTTAGGTAGAATATAAACTCATCTTTTTTCCTTTTTTACAGATGGACTGGGATAAACAAATAATAAATAAATATATGAAATTTTAAAATAGATCAATAAATAAATAAATACTGGAGAGAAATTCAAAAAATGATACTTTTGATCCAACAACCATGAAGCACGATGAAGATTTATAATATGAGTATCAAATAATACCACCTACAATAAGAGGGAAAGTCCCCTATTAGTGTGCAAGAAAAATCTCACCAGCAAGTTTTGAGGCTTGATGTCCCGATGACATAGGCCAATACAGTTATGGATATAAGCCAGTGCCCTGCATATCTGCACCATGAAGCCAAGGCACATAATGCAACATTAGTGATAAACCAAACCAGACACTTATTCCACAATAGTAGTACATAAGCACTTCAGCCTCAATATAAAACAACACTGCTAATGGGCAAACCTGATAGGTATAGAGCTTGACATATATTAGTGGTACCCTCTGGTTCATTCTGTTGTATTGCCTGGCAATACGGTTAACAGTTTCAGGAACATACTCTAGGACAAGGTTGAGGTATAGCTCTTCCTTATCTGTTGTTGAGAAGAAACAATGCTTGAGAGCGACAATATTAGGGTGGTCCAACATTTGCATTATCTGCAACTCTCTGTTCTTATAGCGCTTATCTTGAAGAACCTTCTTGATTGCCACAATTTCTCCAGTCTCTCTGCATTTTGCCTAACAGAACACGAGTAAACCCTAGTACATAAAGTATTAGCTTTTAGATCAACAAGAAATATCAGCGCTTACTTGGAAAACAACACCAAAAGATCCAGTTCCTACCACATGTTCTGCTATGTAGCTTACCGCCTGTCAAGTCCAATAGAAATGTAATGAAGAATGTTTTAGATTAGCACCCACAAGATTACATAATGACATTGACCATGTAAAAAACTGCTCTCTAGTCATATGCCAGACCTGCTTGGGTTGGCCATTCCTACCACCAATAGTTGTTCTAATAATGTGCCCTGTTTCTGCACCCATGCCATCAATTATATCGGGTTCGCTGTCCTGCATAACAAAGAGTCAATACAGGAAAGCCTTCTAGATGCTTGAACCCATGAGAGAGTGAAAAGTTCATCTTGGCTCAGGTACTGCAGACGACCAATGACAGTAGACCCGAACATATAGCAGCAAAGTTGTAAACTTGTAAGTCAGTCAATTAAGAAGCTTACTTTATCATCGTCAATGTCCACTCTGTCCCTCAACCTCAATTCAATCATTTCTCTTCCCAACCAGTCAGCTGACGTAGATGAATTTGTGAACCCATTAGCAATTCTAGAACTCCCTGCTCCTCCATTACCTAAGCCAGAAGATGCCATAGTTGAGACTCACAAGTTTCACGAACTCTAACATGTAGTTGTTTGCACATAATGCTTGCGGACACAAACTTCCATATCAATAAAACATCTGCCTGCCTAATACAATAGCAAAAATCTGGACTCAATGCAATTGAAGATAAACCCTTGATCAACATGGACAGAATAAAGCAGATGGATATCATCTTGGTTGTTTTAAAAAATCATAAAGAAAGGCTTTTAGGTGGCCATTGATGTGACACTATAAGATTTTTAGTTCATCACCGAGCAAAAAAACGGGTACAGCCATCTAAAACTATGTCTTTTGCTTAGGAATCAAAACTAAAAGTATACTATAGAGTTCATTTTCATTTATCCCAGTGCCGCAAAGGCTCCCACCTACGGTGGGGTAAGAGGGGGTCGGATGTACGCAGTCTTACCCCTGTACTAAAGCACAGAGAGACTGTTTCCGGATGACCCATAGTGAAAATCGCGTCCAAAATTGCATGACTGACGCTGCTTCATAACAAAGAAGCGCAAACATTTTAGTGAGTCATTTTGCTTTATTCCATCAAATTCTCAAGCCAAAAAATAATGAATCTTTTGGCTCCATTGCAAATGATGGAAAAAAAGTATACTAGAGTGATACACAAAACATGGATGCACCCATGATTCTTTTGAATATCAAATTTTAGCTAGTCAGCTAATTTGAGTTCAAAGTGAAGTATTTCAATACCAAACACAACACAATTTGCAGTGGAGGAAAGAGCTTTACTTTTCCCAGTGCATATAACATGCAAAAGATTGGGCTTTCAATATTCCCCTCAAGGCTTCAACAAACGAAGATCATGACAGCCAAACCAAACACTAAAAGCCTGCAATATCATATCACTCAGCTGGATCTTATGATGCTCAATACTACTCTCCAACACCACTAGCAACATTTCATAATGTTCTGCCGCATAACATGACTTTTCTACTTTACTATTTGCAGTTCACAGAGAGCAAGAGTTATATAATAGTAACTGAAAACCATCGTGATAAGATGACTGCCAAGTTTCCCATCACTCATCCTAGTATCCTACAAATCTTTTTCAGCTTTTATATATTTAAAGACACTCATAATTTTCCCGCTCAATCCAAACTAACATAAATAAATAAACACACAAAATGCGCCCGCGGCCGTCGTATAACTGGTTGAAAAAATAATGAATATTCCTACCCAGTCCGATCACATGAATCTTTCCGGTTACTGAGAGGAATAGAATAGAATAGAATATACAGAAGTACCATCAGAAGACGGACACATGTATTTGAGAAATCGAAGAAAATATGAACTGACCTCGTTGGATAGCGCTGGGGAATCAAAGCAGCACTTGAGCATCTCGAGCAATATCACCTTCAATATAAAGCTACAAAACGCCGCAAAAGCTATTTAAGGAACAGGGGAATCTACCCTGTTTTCACTTTTCTCTAGGGTAATAATGCTGTTATGACTCTGTGACAATACAGTGCGAGGATTGTGAGGAGAGGAGGGAGATTTTCAATGGTTTCACACAGACTGTCAGTGTTGAGTGATAAGTGACAGCGGCCTTCCCTCTTTCTCGTTCACATCCTTTCTTCTTCCCTTTTTCTCTGCGCTACTGTTGAGTAGGGTACATTTCCTGGTGCGCCCACGGCAATAGTCACAACTCTCTTCTTTTTTCTTTCTTTCGCTTATAAATTCGACCTATAAGCAATGTGATTTAAAAAATAAGACAAAGTGTTATAATTATTCATGCGTAAAAATCCCTTTGAGAACAAATTTAATTGCCAATTAAACAAAAAATAATTAATATTTTGTTTAATATAATGATTTTGACAAATTTACTTACATATTTACTCATAATAATAAGTTAAATGATTTTAAAAATTATTAAATTTATTTTTAAAGGGGGTTCTGCGCATGAATAAACATAACACAGGGGGACGCATTTTTTAAATCATAGAGATTAATGTGCCGAATTTATATATCACAGGGGGATTTGGTGCATTAAACCACGTATGCTAACCCCAACTCATTCATCAATAAATCAAATTTTTCTTATTCACTTCTTCAATTCAATTTTTTAGTAATCAACACCGTTAAAGTTGTTTCATCTTTCTCTTTCGAAATTATATTTTTCTCTTTCAAAATTATATAATTCTAAATCATTTTGGAAAAATTGACAAGAATAATCTCACCTTTCACTGATATTCTCATAATAATCCTACCTTTACATAATCCCAAAATAATCTCACCTTTGCACACCATCTTATTTCATTGGACCCTGACCAAGTTTTTTTACCTTTCTTTGAAATTCTTATATAAATAATTTCACATTTATAAAGATATAATAGAAAGGTAAAAGGTGAGATTATTTATATGATTTTCAAAAAAAAAGTAAAAAACATGGTCGGGGTCCAATGAAAGAAGATGAGGTGCAAAGATGGATTATTCTGGGATTACCTAAAGGTGAGATTATTATGAGAAGATCAGCGAAAGATGAGATTAGTTTTGTCAATTTTTCCAATCATTTTTACTTTATTTTTAATTTATCAATTCAACCAATAACCTCACTTTTCCTAATAAATGTATCACCTTCTCATGTCTCAATGTTAAAGGGACGAGGTTCTATATGTTTAGTACAAATATTGATTAATAATCTTGAAAATCTTAAAATGAGGGTCACTACTGAATACGTCGAAAAAAATTCTCCCTCAACCAATTGAATTGAGATAATCTCCGAAGTTATAAAAATTTTAAAGCAGTTATATAAAGTTATATTCTCCCTCAACCAAAAGGACTTTTTGTTATATTCTTTTAACTTTAAGAAGGTGAAATATAGACCCTCCTACTATAGCAAATAGACCCTCCTACTATAGCAAAAACTGTCAAATAGACCCTCCTACTATAGCAAAAACGTCAATTAGGCCCTCCTACTTCAAAATCAATCAATTGAACCCTTAAACTTTTAATAAACACTCAATTGAGCTATTTAGGCTGTAAACAACCGGTTTCCCGGTTTGATGCTGACATGGACTTGCTACGTGGTTTTCTAATGTTTTCTAATTTTTTCTCTTTCTCTATCCCTTTTATTTTCTTTTTCTTTTCCTTATTTGTTTCGTACGTTGACCTTCGTTGTTCACCTTCTACCCAGCGCCACCCGTCCTATGCACTCAGCGGCTACTTTTCACTGTACTCCACCGCCACTTCAATTTCACAGCAAACGGGATGCCAGGCCCCTCACCGGTTCGCCTTTGTAGTAGCTTTCAAGGGACGTATTTGCCAACCTTAGCTTGGGTTTTTCCTGGACACGTGCAAAGGTATTCGCTGGTCTTTGATTCTCCTCTCAAGTGAAGTGTGGATGAATATGTCAAGACAAGCCTGTCAAGGAAAACGTACGTAGCTGCGAACTGAACTGGCTGGAAAAGACGAGCAAGCTTCTTCACTAACGCTTGCCGGTCTTCGATCTCCCCAACTGTCACCCCCATCCTCCCCTCTTCCTGTATCCCTCTGTAACGAGCTAGACTCTTCTTCCCCAGCCATTTCTTTTTGTGGAACAACCCTCGAAGGAAACTTCGGACTTTACATATCGATCTACCGCCGGTAGAGAGTTTCAATTTAAATATATTCTTGAATCTTCTTCCATATAACCCATTGACGTTTCAGCTTCGTGTCAACTCCCTCAAGATGCAAACGAGATGTGTCTTTACAGAAAATCGTCAAGGAGGAGTTCGGCAGTGAGGATTCCGGTATGCTTTTCCTTCGCCCGGTAGCTAGGCTTGAGGCAGCATCTGTCTTTCTTCTTGCTCAATCTCCTCATTAATGTTCCAGGTCGTCTTCTTCGCAGACGCTGAAATGGTGAGCTCCACAAATGAAAAAAATGGTTGAGACGAGTGACGACAAAGAGACGGGATAAAAAGCTCCGGGAAGAGAAAATATAAAAAAGGAAAAGTAAAAATAATAAAGATAAAAAAATAGAATAACACACAAACAAACACATAGGCACTCCACGTCAACTTTCAACCGGAAAACCTGTTGCTTACCACCTAAATAACCCAATTGAGTGTTTATTAAAAGTATAAGGGTCCAATTGATTGATTTTGAAGTACAAGGACCTAATTGACGTTTTCGCTATAGTAGGAGGGCTTATTTGACAGTTCTCCCTTTCACATTTATGTGCACAGTGCACCGATACGATGTACGAAAGTACTCCGTATTAGATTAGAGTCTATGTGTATCCGTTACGTGCCATTTTCTATAGAATTTATAGGCCAACTAATGGCCAACTCAAAACCTTCATGTTTTTAACTTTGTTTGTCAAATTGTGTATCGAATAGTATTGTTGAATATAATGTCACAACTGGTAAATGCTTAATGCTTTGTTTTTTCTCACCAAGGATGATAATCACTATTCATTTTTCAGAGACAAGTTGACATTATAATAGTATTCTTCATTAACTTTTCTTAATTTCAAAGCTAAATTTTACTATTGCATGAAACACTAGACTTAATTGAGGAAGAATTCAACACCCATACATTTTTTTTGCAAGATTAAATTAGTAAACAAACCCCACAAAAATATTTTGACAATCCAATTTCAAAAAAGGGTGCTCCTGCCATGTGGCTTTTTTGGTTTATAATCATGCCTCTGGACCACGCTTCATGGGCCAGGGAATGTGTACCAATTATCATGCATGATGGGACAGTGTTGGACCACCACGCTCATTGACTTCTTTTGTCACTTTAAACACTCCACCCAACTTTTTCCTACTGTCTGGTTACTCTCTATAGCCTTTCCAAAAAGAGTAAAATCAGTTGTTGCCCTGTTGGCATTCACGAATAGTAAAATCTCCAGTAAGCAAAATGTGATAACTCAATTCAGCTCTCCCTTCAAATTCTTTGAACGATTCTGGAGGGACCTTCGCATATCGGATACACCTTTTTTTAATATCAAATGCAATGTGCATTGTCTATTGCCATTGGAGTGCAATATTCTTCTTCCTTATAGCTAAATTCCCACGTTGCAAGGAGCCAAGGACTATTGAATGATGAATAGTTGAATACTTTTCCATCACCCAATACATGTCGATACCCATAAATGTAGCTACAAAATATAGTGAAGTAATATTTCTCCATCTTTACTTTTTGTGTGCTACTTGTATATACATAACCTTAATAACACTTGTATCACAAAATATTAATGCATAAACAGGACAGTGTTTTTATGGATATAGCTGTATAACTGTATAAGTAATAGCTATTTTAGTTTTAATTTTGCTCCTCATTTTAGTTACATATAAGATATACGGAGTAAGATAAAGTTGGTTTATAATGTTTTAGTATGACTGATCATACCACACTTCGATATTTATAAAATACACAAAGATCACATACATTATCAAATCAGACAAATTTAGACAGAACAGACTTAAACAGACCAAATCAAATCATTTAAAAACATTCTTAGCTTTTAGAGTCTTCTATATTTGAAATCATAAACAATTAAAAGACAAAAAATGTATATCTAGTCGAAGCTTTTAGAGTGCACTTTCTGGTCAAAAGCTTTAAGCTTTTAGAGTCTGCATAGGACCGCCGGCACGTAGATCCCGTGGAAGGGTGAACTTTCTTACGAAGTATAATCTCACATTACCCATGTAATCATATACAATTTTCATATAGGTACACCTCGGATTACACCCTATTTATTAGCATTCCCATCCTCCTCTTAGTCATTTGAACTACCTTTTTCCTTCATTTTTTATTGTTTCTTTCTTTCTTCTTGTTCTCTCTTTTCACATTTTATTCATACTCCATCTTCCATCATCATCTTCACATTTACTTTGTCAATGCATAAAAAAAGTGATGTTTGAGAATAATCGGAAAATCTCCAGAAAATTACCAGAAAATTAGAGCCGCCAAAAATTGTCCGTGTGGTATGTGAATATTGCTTGTCGTGCTGATTTTCTGAATAATAATATATATTGTTTGTAAAATTAGAGCCGCCAAAAATTGTCTGTGTGGTATATGAATATTGCTTGTGTCTATGGCAAAAGTTTATAAAATGCTACTTGTTTTTCAATTTCATCTTTTGTTACAAACAATGTATATCATTATTCAGCACGACACAAACAATATTTATATACCACACTGATAAAATTTCGGCGACTCTAATTTTCTGGTGACTTTCTGATTATTCTCAAACATCGAATTTTTTTATGCATTGATAAAGTAAATGTGAAGATGATGATGAAAGAAGAGTGAAGATGGAGTATGAATAAAATTTACGGAGTAATGAAGAGGAGCAGGGAGAGAGCGAAGGGGGTGGTTCGTATGACTAAGAGAAGGAGCATGGAAAGGGTAAACAAATAGGGTGTAATTCGGGGTGTGCCTATAGTAAAATGGAATTCTATAACCATTGGCAATCTTATATTCTCATAATCTCACATCACTTTCTCTAGCATAATCACATCACCTAAGCCTAAGGCAATCTTAAATTCGCGAACCAAACATCCTCCAAGTGCACGACATCAAAATCGTAATATACACATCATATTTTGCTCATATGCAAATTAGTAAACAATAATAATATCTCAAAAGGAAAAAGATCGAAGCAAGCGTTACATTGAGCTTACGATGGCATGTGTGTCATATTCCTATGGCATCAAGGAGTTGAGAGTGCTGAGACACAGAGACCAGGGAATTAGCGACAATGGCACCACTAGCAGCAACTGCAGGAACTCCAATGCCAGGGAAGGTGGAGTCACCACAACATAAGAGCTTTGGGATTGGTGTTGAATGGCCAGGGAATGTGGAGTCTTCACCCCCCGCCATTATAGCTGGCCCATAAGTCCCTCTGTTTCTCCTAAGAAATCTTTGGTGCGTTAGTGGGGTTCCAGCCAATTTTACTTCGCATCTGTCACGACTGAAACCTGGACCGAGCACTCTTTCCACTGCTTTCCACATTACCTGCTTTCACAATGACATTTTAGTCTGTAACGAGTGAAAAGGGAAAATATAAGTAGAATCACGTGAGAAAGAGCTAAATTCCTCAAAACGGATGCCTACATGAAAAGGTTGATGGTAATACATGTTAAAGTTTCCTCATTTTTGGATAATTACCCATATCTCATATTGTCACCCATCATTTAAGATATTTGCTTCATCACCTTATTGCTCAAGCCCCAAGGGATACATCAGAAATGAAAAATGAAAGGGAAAACTATCAGATAAGCCCTCATAATATACCTTAAAAAGCAAGCCCTTGTACTAAAAGAACACTCAATTGAGTCTATCAACTAATAAAAAACATTCAATTTGTCATTTTAGCAGGTTACTTGGAGGTTCTCCGGTAACCATTTCACGTCAACGTGTAGACAACCAATCATGAGTGCCACATCATCTCAAAATAATATTCTTAAGAAGATTAGAATGAGTAAACACAAGGCAAAAAAACAGGAAGATTACTTCCCGTATAACCAAAGCCGGCATCCCGGCGGCCTCCTTTACCACCTTGCCGGCAACCTCCTTTCCCTAATTCCTATAATCAGTTGACTTCTCTTATCTATTTTTTTTTGGTAAAATCTCTTATCTATTTATTAATAGTGTATAATTATACACTATTATTTACAGGGGCGTAGCTAGGATTGAAGGTTGGGCTGGGCCGGTACAAAGAATTTTTTAGATATTTTTTTTTCACATAAATTTTTAGCCTAAAAATACAAAGAATTTTCAAATTTGGGGCGGGCCGTGGCCCGGTTGGCCACCCCTCTAGCCTCGCTTCCTCCGTCTCCTCTAACCTAGGCCCCCAAAAGTGACCATGTCACCTCCATTGCCAGCGGCTTGCTTAATTCTTATCCGAGATGAGTAGATGACTCTGTGGATAGGGTTTTGTTCGCTTCTTGCTTTATATGGAGTGTAAAGAAAGAAAAAACAGTGAAGCCATCCGATCGCCTCACTCGTATATGGATTTCGTGTTCGAGAAGAAGGATAAGAACGGTTCTAGACTTGTTGACCATGGGAATTTTTACGGATCAAATTACATATTATGCCTTGGTGGTTGCCATGTACACATTTAACCGGTTAACCGGTTCTATACCGGCTAAAAATCCTTTTGATTGTTTTTTAAGAGTTCAAGTGCTTGATTGCCTTTTTGACTATAGTATAAGGGTCTATTCGATAGTTTTCCCAAAATGAAATGATTGTTTGTGCTTGCTAAGAAGCTCCATTATGGTTTTGATTTCCTATTTTCTGGTATCGGTCCATACTTCTCATCAAGTGGGAACAATTATAAGAGAAAGTTCCTTTATAGGTGTAACATATAGTTAAGTTCCTCAAATAGGACCATCATCATTTTCTTCCTGAAATAGGACTAAATTACTCGTGCAAGTTTAAGTTTTGCTATTTTCATTCTTTTATTAGGACTAAGAAGCTGCTATTTTGGGATTAAAATATAGCTTGTTCTATTTCTAAACTTTGTCTATGTTTTACTCACATGTAGAGCAATTTCTTCAACTACAAATCATTATATGATGTGAAAATGTAACAGAGTATATGCTACAATAAATGCAAAGTTTCTACAGATGTTTGAGGTCATTGAACTCTACAATCTGAACACTGGCTATTGTCTACAAATGTCAATGTCTAGCCAACTACTCCACCTAAAATCAAATCTAATAAATCTATAACATGCAAACTTATGCAGTGTCATGAAAAATATCCTTAGCACCAAGTCAAATTCATATGCAATGAATAGTTGAATACCAGTAGATATCAAGTTCCTAAACAAAGAACAAAACTAGGAATGAAACTGATAGAACACTCCAGAAACAAAACAATAACAGTCCTAATATACCTCGGACCGTTCAGCCTTGAGATTTTTGTATTCATTGCTGTTGTGATCTAGTCCTGCCCAAATTTCATATGGCTCAGTTCCGGGTGTATAGGCATGCAAGACATGTTTCCCTGGTGGAGCAAGATCAGGGCTAAGCACATTAGGTATAGAGATCAGAACAACATTTTGATCAGCATCAACTCCTCTCTCCCAGTCATTTACAACTATATGATGGATTCCCAGGTCATTGCGTATTCCCTAACCAACCATTTTTCATGCAATAAAACACTCATTAAAGGTGACCCTGACTTTATTATCCAGGTCCAGTTTTTGAAACATTAATTGAACTACAGTGCTTATCAGCAGAATAAGCTAACAAATTAAGCTGAGTATAGTAGCCTTAGACTTACTTATTTGGTTGAAATCAAATTACCAGGGAAAATGCATAAATGGTACCTTAACTATTGGTAATGTTGCATTTTGGTACCTTAACTCTTAAATGAATCAAAACGATACCTTAACTATACATAAATGTTTCGAATTGAGATGTTATTCAAAATTTCGACCAAAAAATCCTTCATAACGATCAAAATTCCATGTGTAGAGTCACCCTATAGTGACCATATGGACAAAAATAAGGTGACGTAGACTTTACGCATAGAATTTTGGCCGCCACGTGTGATTTTTTGGTCGGAAATTTGAATAAAAACTCAATTCGAAACATTTATGTATAGTTAAGGTACCGTTTTGATTCATTTAAGAGTTAAGGTACCAAAATACAACATTACTAATAGTTAAGTTACCATTTATGCATTTGACCCTCAAATTACCAAACGATTTCTAAAGAAACGGTAATATCTAATCTAGAAAATAAAAAAACGGTATGTATATCACCTTTGCATCGAATCCCAGATGTAGATGCATAAATGATTCACATTGTGGGGTGCTTTTTATACGGTTCTGATACGTTTTTGGAATAACATGCTTTGGTAATAAGTTCATAGTGTCCCACATGGATGCATTGCTGACAACAGCCTTTTTAGCATGAACAACCTGCAGTAAATTAATCTCCTCATCAGATAATTTACCATAAAGTCATAAACTACATGTGTCATCCTATTCATAATATTTGGTACTCACTTGGCCACTTCTTAGTTTCACTCCTGTCGCTCTACCATTTTCAACAACAATATTGTCTACATGGCTCTTAAGAGAAATCCGGCCACCGAACTTCTGTAATCCTCTCAATAGGGCATCAACTATAGCTCCACTTCCATCGAGAGGATACTCCAATGTGCAACCAGGCTTATACCATTCTGAGAGCATATAAACCTATGATATGAGTACATAATGTTACTAATTTACTACTCCCAAGAAAGATGTCTCTTAGATCATAATTTAAAGTAAAAAAAATAGGTTTTTTAAGACCTTGTTTATAATGCATCCAAGGGACAATGCTACTGTGAACTTTTAAGCATAGAAATCTATATATAAAATATTTCAAAGATACATTTGAGGAAAGATTTTGACACGTGTCAACATACTAGAGAATCGTCCATCGAAAGTTTTAGGCCCAATTTCTATTTCGGGTGAAGATTTGTTATTCAATGTAATCACTACTCCGTAAATTACTACTCCATAAATTACTTTCTCCGTACTCCGTCTTTATGAAACTAAGTTGACAAGAGGAGCTCAAAGAGAGATAGGAGACCACCAAAATGAAAAATCACCATTTATTTTAAAATGGTATAACTTTTTTATTTGTACTCTAATTGTTAGAAAATTTATATCAGAATTCATAATTTTTTATTAGCTTTCATATGACATCAATATTGAATATATAAAAACAAAAATAATTTAACACTTTAAAAAATATTTATTTATTGCAAGTGTTATATCTGTTTTATTTGTACTTTGATTGTTACAAAGAATATATCAAAATTCATAACATTTTGTTGTGTTTCATATAACATCAATGTTGCATATACAAAAATTAAAAAAAAAGTAATTCTATTAATTTGTGCAATTTAGGATCGTATTTTTACCGTGCACACAATTAATGAGTGGTGCTAGCTTAGAATAAAGCTGGACAAACTCTACCATCTTTATTTATTACTAAGCTATCACTCCGAATTAATAATTTGCACGGTATAATATTTCTTACCATATGATAAGAAAACATTATTTTAGGAAAAAGCTCCTAAAACTGACCTTAGCTTATTGCGTTATTGTAACTGGCCGGGGTTTGCTTTTATAAAAAAGGCTTAAACATGTTTGTAGTCCGTACAGATATGACCCAATTTTTTGAGTCCCTGAAATTTTTTCTATCCCTCTGATATGAACTATTTTGTTTTTAGTCCACCTCTAACTTCCAACCATTCCATTTCTAAAAAAATTATTTTCGGTTGCATAAGTAAATAAGAAAATCTTTCTTATAATATGCTAATATGCGTGTTAAAATAATGTAAATCTAATTATTTATGTTTCTAAATATGTAGTTAAAACCTTCTAAAAAACTAAAATTGTCATGTTTTCAAAAAATAATTAAATATTTAATCCTTAGTAAAACTGACGTTAGCTTATTGTAACTTACCGTTGTTCTCTGATTGAAGTGACTGAAGTTACTATTGATATCCCATTTTACCTAATTTTCCATATCATTTTTAGTTTTTATAAATAAAATATTTTTTTAAATATAATGTTTCCATAATTCAGTAGATTAGTGAATTTTGTCGCTTCAGCCAAAACTTTCAACAATTTAGGCAAATTCAACCGAATTCAGTGTTACCAAATGGGCTATACGTGTTTTCAATTTCTTTCCATTTTTATGGCCAGTGTTTGCGATTGAATTGACTGAAATTACTATTGAGGATATCACTTAAGCTATTTTCCATATCATTTTTCCTTATTTTCTTGATAAAATAAATTTAATTTTAACTATATTTTACAAAATATGTTTGAACTAGATTCAAGGCTGATGTTATAGCTTCAGCCAAAACTTTATCAATTTATGTGTATTCTGCCAATTTCAATGTTAGCATATGGGCTCTACCTGTTTTCAATTTCTTTACATGTTTTATGGTTGATGTTCTCTGGTTGAATTGACTTAATTTACTACAGATGATATCATTTTAGTAATTTTTCATATCATTTGTCCTTATTTTTTTAATAAAATATATTTTAAATATAATATTTCTATAATTTACCATAATCAACCAATTCAGTCGTTTTAGGTAAAACTTCATCAATTACAATAGATTTAGCCAATTCAACCAATTTTCGGTGTTATCAAACGGGCTCTATGTGTTTTCAATTTCTTTCCAATTTATTTGCCATGTTTCTTTTAAATAATCAAAGAGAGAATTTGACTTTGCACCCCATATTTTGGCTGATATTTAACTTTGCACCCTGTTTTCAAAATTATTAATGTATGCACCCTAATTCACTATAAAAATCATTTGACTTTGCATCATACTCCTTTACAATTTTTGGACTGATAGGGTGCATACATTAAAGATTTTAAAAATGGGGTGCATAGTCTAATACCGCCCAAAACATGGGGTGCAAAGTCAAATTCTCCCATTATAATATCTCCAACAATTCTAATGAAACATAAATTAATCGATACCATCAATACCTAAAATCAAGGGTGGAGACGGAGAAGGGCTATATCAAGGGGGCCTTGGCCCCCAAAGAAATCATTCTAATGTGTATTGTATGTATAAATAGTTTTAATCTATAAATAATATGTCATCGTTTAAGATTTGGTGTTCGCACCTTTCAAAAAAAAACTTTGATGTACCCAATGTAAAAAAAATTGAGCTCTGACTCCTAGCTAATACGGAGTAGTATATTTCTAGCTCTGAAATTCTCGGTTACCAATCACAATCGTGCGTCTTATTATCACTGTCATAACCTCCATTAAAATCTAAGGACCCGTTTGGTAAGACAAAAATTAAATGAATCTGTTGAGATTTATGAAATTGAATCTGATTTACTAATTTGTGGAAAAATTATATTTGAAATATACTTTATTGATAAGATTAACAAAATATTACAAGAGAAATAACTAAAATAGTGTTCTACAATAACTTCAGTCAATTCATTCACAAAAGTAACTTGAACCTTACTTATTTTGATTATTACTTCATTCAGCGCACGAAGTAAAACATACGTGTTTGATATAAATGTTGGCTGGTAAGGCCGATAATCTGCAAATATGGGTTATCAAATGGTATTAACAGAATCTAAATGTCACAAAACTATAAGTTTTGAACTCTTATTCTTAAAGAAAAACATCATTTGGTAAACCAAAAAAAATATCATATGCTCACAAAATATCTTATCATGTACTCTTAATCCTAGAAAGGGCTAATATGTTCACAAAATATTTGAATAAAGATATTTTTCCTAAATATTACTAATAAAACAGTTATGGATAAAAATGTGACTTAGTTAGTACTACCTACGTGCCCATAAGTTCGGGACAAAGAGGCCGGTGTGATATGGTTTTTAAGAAAAAGTAGAGTTGTGTGATTATTATTGAATTGATAAAGTGTGAATAAAATAACATAAATTGTAACCATTCAAATATTATCAAATATAGTACGAGAAAAACTTAATGGGACAGAAGAAAAAGGTAAAACATGACAAGGTTAAGGGAACGAAAAGGGTAATCTTTAGTGACTATAATTGTGTTTATATTTATATCATAGTCACTACATCATGATAACTTTTAACATTATTATAGTCACTAAAAATTATCAAGTCACTTTTTTGTCCATCAATTTCCAAGAAGTAATATATGTGGGTTTTTTTTTTCTTTGATAAACCCATTGTTAAATAAATTACAAAGATGTTTAGTTAGTTTTAGAAAAACAATGCATAAATGTCACATGAGATCTAATGGAATATAATAGGCATTGACCAATATCTTTTTTTATTAAGGTAAATATGGGTAGAAAAAATAATTTCAATTGGATGAAACAAAAGAATTATATATAAAAAAAGGCTTAGCTTTTTCATTGGAAAATATAGACCAAGAATGTGTTTGGATAGTAATTAAAAAAGACACCCTCTAAATGAAATATGCATAATTAACCAATGTTATAATTGATTAAATACATCATTTTTCATTAGCTTTAATAGCTCATAATTACTCCGTATATAAGTGTGGGTGTACTGTGTACACACATAATAAAATTCAAAAGTAAAATCGTTTATCCCGTGCACGGCACGGGTAAAAATACTAGTATTACATAAGGCAAACACTAAGAGCCTGTTATCTCACGCCTAATATGGATCAAGTGACTGAATTTGCTGAAATAGCTCAAACTGGTCAAGTCTGTTGAATTGTCTAAAGTAAACAAACAGTTTTAAATAAAAATAATACTCCCTCCCACAAAAAATTGTCAAATTTCCTTATTTATCCATTCCCAAAAACTGTTATTTCAATTTAAAGTAATAAATATGTGATTAAAGGATGTCTTTAAATGGACTGTAATTTTCTAGTCTAGTATGGTAAACTTATGGTGTATGTATATATTACTATTGCTTAAGTCAGGTCTAATTTAATCTGTTTAAGTCCGATCTGGTCTGGTCTCAGACTTGAATTAGTCCAATAAAAAACATCTAAAGTTATTTTTCTTTCCTCTACACAAATCTCAACCACAAAATTTTTACTTTATTAGACGGAGTGTAATATCTAAAAATGAAAATAAACAAGACTTTTTTTTTATTTCAACCATTTCAGCCAAAAAGGTACCTTCAACCTAGATATGACTTTTTTCGTCATTTGCCGCTACAACCTGGGTAGACAAGTAGGCAGCGCTTGGTGAAAAATCTGACTCATAAGCCAAAAAAAAGTTTATAACCGGATGGGCTCTAAGCCAGATCCTCAAGAGCTTCTTAATCTAGAATTAGAGAGCTTAGGATTCCCAAAGTTACCATCTCTGCAGAGAGTATGCCATTAGTTTTGACCCCAGCAAGCAAGAAAGAGAGAAGATCAAGCCAGTTTCGTATAAAAGGATCTTTAAGCCCCAATGAATCAATAATTTCAGAAAAGGGTCTAAGAAGCTTTGTAGCACCAAGGGCCCCACGAGGTCCCATTTGAGCAAATGATTTCAAGAGAGAGAGTGCATATCTGGCAGCAGCAGTGGAGAGCACACCAAGGTCACCTCTAATCGACAGAGGAGGAAGAGCCATTGCCGCAGCTGACATTGGAAGAATTGTATCCTTCACCAAATAGCATTTTTATATGCACAAGAGGAGAAGTTTTAGTAACAAAAATTGAGAATAAGTTTCAACAAAAAACATTGAATTTAGATAAATGAACAAAATTTTGAGAGTAAGTTTCAAATGAATTTCTCAAAGTTTCAGGGCGACGGCTGTAAATTAACAGGTGGCTCTTGAGCTAGTTCGGCTACTATACATAAATGAACAAAATTTTGAACTCCTTAATTAACTGAACATAGCTCAAGTGAAGCAGTTAGAAGATCCATGAGCATACTCTTTTATCAGGTTCGTGAATATGCATGTTTCTCAGCTTTCTTACTCTTGGTATATAAAGATTATAGTTCTATAAAATTATAAAACCTTCTAAAAAAATACTGAAAACTACTAAAGAGTGAATGTCTCCATTCATAAATATTTTGATCACTTTACTATTATTTGTCTCTGTTGACTTTGAGAAGATTCGAATTGAAATTGTCTGTATGCTTTTGATTCTATTTTGAGAGAGACAATATCGTATTACAGATTTTGTGGATATAGTCGGCTGTTTCAATATTTGTAGTTTATGAAAACATTGATTGTGTCAGCTTGTATATCTGTTTATTAAAAATTTGTTAAGTTTGTGTGCTTGACGTTTTCAGTTTGTTTTTTGTTGCCAAATGAACAAAAACACAGTGATACTTGTTTTCTTATTTCTATACAACCCTAAAGCTTAGCAGAAAAACATGAAGACACATAAGCTTGGCTCAACTTGTTTGGTTACACCCCTGCTTAGAATGGGTAAACGTTCTAACTAAGCGTCCATTAAACAAGTTTAATGCTGAGAGAGAACATGCGGAACTCGTGAGGGCCATGATAAAATTAAAGAAGTTTCTCAAATCTCAGGTAACATGACATTCTATAAGGCATCAACGGAACTTAAAATATTAACAAGCATGCAAGTGTATTTTGCAAGCAGCAAGCTGCTGAGGTGGTTGAACTGGATGCAACTACCTCACAAAAATGAACCCCACAAAAATGGGGTGTATTTTGAGCTTCCCCTAGGAGGTCAAAACTGAGCCACCCATGGACCCTTTATAATGAGGGCCCAGATGTTTTTAAAATATATAGTTTTTAAAATAGTTTCTCCCTCTGTCCCAACTTAAGCTTCTCACTTGCCTTTTCTGCACATCCCAGCTAATGCTTCCCATTTCTATTTATGGATATAATTAACACTCTTAAATGAATAATTAATCATCAAATAATAAAAATAATTCACCTATAACATCACAGTAATCATCAATGATCTCATTATGTTATATACTCATCAAAATTACTTCTGAAAATATACTCAAATTACCTTATTAATTATTGTCTAAATAATTGTGTCATTTTTCAAGGAGAAGCTTAAGCCGGGGCAAATTTAGTGTATATATATGACCTGAAGTGTTTATTCAAGTTGGATTGTAACATAGTAGAACATTTTCCCACTTGATCTGTAAATGTGAAGAAAAAGTCTTGGGTTTGAAATTTGAATCCCACCTTCACTTACTGTTGATTTTTTCTTCTTGAAATTTTAGACAAAATATAGGGTGCCCAACTTTTTCCCGTTCTGGTCCGCTCAATGACTAGGACCACCTGCTCCTTATGGAGCAAGCCCAACACGCTCCATAATAAAATAAAATTACTTTCAATAAATAGGACTGATGTGGAGAGAGAAAATGTAGAACTCACTAGAAGCTCTTTCCATTCTCTCACAGAATCAGGACCAGCATAGTTTTCGAGATCCTGAAGAATATATTATTGAAATTTGAAAGTTAATCATTTTGATAAGTTCTGGCTAACCGCCAATCAAAAGCTAGATACAACTGAGATGCATAAAATAACTGATAGATACCAGGATCGAAGGAGAGGAATTGTTGTTTATTAGAAACGTAATTGATGAACAGGAATATGAAACGATACAGGTTTAGGCACTTCGAGCAGCCTATCTCTCCCAGAATTCCCAGCCCAAGTCTAAAATTCTGCCTACCCCTTTCCTCCCTTCCTTCCATCTCTTATAGTACTCTATTCTAACGGGCCAGCCCATATTATATGACATGGCCCAGAATACTTATTTATACAATACCAAACTTATTCAATATCAATCTATCACTATTATTATCATTATTCTCTATAGCCCAGGGCCCTATCACATCTCCCCCCTTGAAAACCCACCTTGTCCTCAAGGTGGGTGATAGGACAAAGCCTTGATCTTCAACTTCATCTTCATCCGAGCACCTCTTCCTTCCCAGTAGCTAACTGATGGCGGAACCATGAGATTGCTTTCCTGAGAAACACACTGATTTTCGGGATCATTGTAATTGTTTTGTTCCTCATGATCAGATGCTTCTGTTTGATCTTTTCTTTCAATATCCTTTTCTGGATGCGCTGGCTGCGAATAGGTCAAACTGCCAATGCTGCTAGTCATTAAAATAATGTGTCCGCCGCCTTTGGTTAAGCACCAAGAAAGTTCTTCCTCACTTTCATATGAGATTCTACCTTCTGGTTTCACCGTGCTTTGAGGAAGACCCATAGATGCCTTAGTAGATAAGATTAGAAATCTTGAGATAGAGGGACTGTACATTAGAAACAAAACCGAGGGTGAACCAATATCAAACAGAACAACCTGGCGGCTTTCAAGCCCCATAACCCATTTGGATCTTGATGCCATGGACTGCCAGATGCATACTGGGGAACTGACAAGCGAAAAGATAGCGGTGCATTGATACCAAGCACCACTTGGGAAAAGGGAAACTTCAGCGTTGGGTTCAATGAGCAAATGCAATCTTGCTTTCTGAGAGCCAGAGTTGCTGCTAAGCATGTCATAGGGAACTTGGCCAGATTCGTTTCCAATAGCAACACTCAAAAAGTTAGTGGAAGAGTCTAGAGCTGTTATAACTGCACTAGTACTAATGCTTTCCAAGCTCTTCACCACAGATACGATAGCCCTAAAGTTGTAGAACCACACAGACTTATCATAATCAACAACTTTCTCAAAATTCTCTTTTTCCAGGATATAGTCATTCTTCACCCTATAACCCTTCATGTAAGAGTATTCCTTATTATCATAAGCTGACCCTACTGCCTTTGGGTAATTTCCCCCAAAACCCGCTCCTTGTGCACATATTTCTCCAAGCAATTCCCTTGACCTTGCCTCGCCCTGAACAATAGCTTTACAGAACCTTGATAATGCTTTGGCATGGGTATACCCCACTCCCTGAACTGCTCCTTCACTGGATAAAACTGATCTCTGAAAGTTCAGTTCATGCCCTCCTGTCAAAGTGCCAAGCCACGAGTTGGTGGGTGAAACAAGGTACTTGGGGACATTCAATACAGCAGCCTGGATAGTATTGTCCAGATTCACATTGGTTCCACCCCATTGGTATTCTGAATTAAAGCCAATAACATCACCATGATTCTTAAAATTGTCAACAGCACCAATCTCTTTTATTTCATCAACCTTTTCTTCAACACTGCTACCAAAAGTAAAATTATCAGCCCCTTTCAGTCCCATATCTGAGGAGTCCAAGGATAGAAGCATGACAACCTTATGTTCATTAGCATCCCTTATGTTCTTTTGAACTGAATGTCCAAAGTAGGCCAAATTTTTATCCCCATACCATCTGTCTTCCTCATAAAGCACTCCTAAAGAATTCCTAACTTTACAACTATATTTTCCAGGAATGACTTTGGTGAACAAGAATTCACTGCTCTCATTTATTACCTGATTTAGTTTCCTATTGTCCTTGTGTTTTCCATCCATATGTACGAGAGTAAGAGAAGCGAAAGAACTAGGAAATTTTCTTATCATCCCTGCAACCGATCGAATTTCAGGAATATGAACCTGAACAACAGATGATTGTTCCTGGCGTCCATCTTCACTTTCGTTGAGCTTAGATGTATTTTTGTCAAATTGCTTCGAATTCATTTTGTCATAAGGAAGTGGCAGTAGACTCACATAATCCGGAGGATGCGATGTATCAGTTTGCGATGGTGAACTGAAAGAAGTCCTTAGCGACTGCGAAGTGTGAGAAACGGCTAGAGTTGATGAACTGTGAGATGCGGTCAGCGAGTCAGAAGAGACCTGAGACAAAATTTGCGCACAATCAGATTTCTCTCTGGATAGAGTTGCATTCTGACGCGAGTGAATAGCAGATGAAAACGCCTTCGGAATGAGATGAGAGTTGCATTCCTCTCTGCGAGTGAATAGCAGATGACGAGAGTTGCATTCTGGGAGAGATAGTTCGTATCTGTGAACTAGGAGAAATAAAAGACGATGCTGACTGCGACGATTTCTGCGAACTACTGTGAGAAACGGCTTGCGATTGCGAAGAAGTTCGCGATTGCGAGCTAGAAGCTGCTACGCGCGATGCAGTCTGCGAACAGGGGGTATTCATTCGCGACTGCGAACCAGAAGAAATCGGTCGTGACTTCTTTTCCGGTGCTGAGTCCTTCGTTTCTGATGATCGACGGCTCCTGTCTGTCCGCGATCGATCTCTAGGTCGCCTGCGACAAAACTGACGGAAACTGTCCACAGACTCGTCCAGCTTAGTCCACATCTCCTCCATCCTTGCTTCCATTCGCAGCAATGTTTCTTTCCCATTTGCATAACTGCGTTCAACAGCCTCCAATCGCTGTTCCATCTTGGCTCTTGTCCGAAACAGTCACAGCTTGGAACGAAAAATTTCTGATGATGCAACGAGAAATCAGGTCACCAGAATGATGCTCTGATACCAATGATAGATACCAGGATCGAAGGAGAGGAATTGTTGTTTATTAGAAACGTAATTGATGAACAGGAATATGAAACGATACAGGTTTAGGCACTTCGAGCAGCCTATCTCTCCCAGAATTCCCAGCCCAAGTCTAAAATTCTGCCTACCCCTTTCCTCCCTTCCTTCCATCTCTTATAGTACTCTATTCTAACGGGCCAGCCCATATTATATGACATGGCCCAGAATACTTATTTATACAATACCAAACTTATTCAATATCAATCTATCACTATTATTATCATTATTCTCTATAGCCCAGGGCCCTATCAATAACTCACATAAAATCATAAACTATGTTAACTAGAAATACAATTCATTTCATGTTATCAGCACTCAGTGACTTAATAAAGAGCCACAAAGCTCTTAAAGAAAAAAATTCAGTTTATGTACTCACTCTGATGCCATAGTAGCAATGAAATAACATAACAGACTTCACTGAAGGCCAAGCAACTTCATGCGCATTAAAAATAATGTACACAGTATTAGGACTATCATATTAAGAATTTAAAACTTACTGATTTCATCCTAAAGATCGGCCACTCTAGTCATAGAAGTAACACAATGTCTCGTACGTTGGTTTGTATTCTTACATTTGTTAGGTTTGGTATCGCTTAGCACATAGATGAGTTATGCATAATGGCAAAGGTATACATTGACAGAAACAATACACTAAATGTCAACCTTGAAGAACTCTGTTGGGCCAATGCGAGACAAAAATTCACCTTCGGGTATGTATACCATCCACGAATCATAGTCTGCACAGGGAATGGATTCACCCAAAGCATCAAGTACCTGCAAACATCGAAGCCCTTTTTCGATAAAGAACTAACAGGAAAACTTCCCAATTTTTTTAATGGATGGGTAAATATGAAAGGCTGCCTACTTGTGCTAAAGGATTTGCCTGTACTCCCCTTGATTGAAAGCCGGAGAATAAAGAAGGGCCTGAGTCAAATTTATAGCCCTTAATATCAAAAGAATGGGCAGCACCTCCTGGTAGATTGTGGCTTTCAAGTACCAAAACGTCTTGCTGGTATCTAGCAAGAAGTCCGGCACAACATAAGCCACCTATACCACTCCCAATAACAACAACATCTGCTTCTGGCTTCCCTGCACATTATATTTCTGCAGCTCACATTAAGATAGAACAAGATATCCACAAACCTTAATTAGATTTCGTAGATGATGTAAATCTTTTTCAGACATAACCTCTAGATCAATAATAGAAATCTTGTTAGATGTTAAGGCCATGCCATTCCATTATAAAAAGTTAATTACCTTATATTAAGACAACTCATTTGGATCATGACATTATTCATGTTTTTCAACCGGTTTCATCTTTGATCGGTAGGTCATTGATTCATTATAACCGTTATAGTTTTTTTTTGTTTCCACAGGGGCCCACTCCACAACTATTGCTCAATGGGTTGCCCATTAACACCTTAGGGTTCCATCGTAAAAGGTTTAAATGCAGTAGGACAAGATCTTATATACTCCCTGTGTCCCACCAAACTTTGACAACATTCTTTACTTAGTCGTCCCAAAAAACTTTACTATTTCCATGTAAGTGCTAAATACGTAGAACTCCGTACATGTTTAAAGTTGTTTTGCTCTCCTCTATACAAATCTTAACCACACAATTTTTACTTTATACTTTCATGTGTAAGTCTATTTTGGCCAAGTTTTATGGAAATGAGGGAGTGTTAATTTATTATCTTATAAAAAACCCGTGCAGGACAAATATACATTATACATGTTGTAATAAAGTGACTATATCTGCATTTCTCAACCTCTACACAATAGATCATACAACTGATACAACTATAGAAGTAACTTTCTACTTGTTGGATGGTATAATTCATAAATGGGTCAAGAATCAAGATAGCTCAATGGCTATAATATAATGCATTTGAATCAACTCTAATAGTCTGATCCAAGAGATTAACTACTCTATATTAAATCATTATAAATTTATCTATCTCGCTTTAATTTCCAATGAAGGACTCTTGACAGATACGAAGTACATACTAACAATTTGTCACTCCGTACTAAAGAATTATAAAGTTTCTTCTTTGAAAGGAAAGAATTATAAAGTTATGCAGTCAATTGTATCCGTGAGTCATGATGATAAGTTACGAGTCAGAAAGAACCAGTGCATACCAGTGAAGGGTTCCTTAGAGGTGGAAGGATAGCCATCCGGAGAAGCTTTGCGGCGTCCGGTGAAGGAGTTGGGCGGCGAAAGTGTAGGTCCCCGGCGACGGTTGTGGTCGGGGGATCGGAAGTTGGGAACTGAGGAGGGAGAATTTGGAAGAAAATTCCCAGCACCAGCTGATGCCATGGATTGATCCTAATTGAGTGGCTTCATTCAGATGAGGGAGTATTGTAACTACTGATTGGGACTTGGAGTGGAAATGAAAAGAAGTTGGAGAATGACAGATCATTTGAGCTAGCTCGGACGGACGAGTGAGCTTCTTCCGCTGCTCCATGTGGTGCAATTTGCAGTTTACATTAGTAACATGACCAAACCATAACTACAACTATGTGTATATGCAAAATATTGTCCATGAAACAAGGTTAACAGACAATAAAAAGCACTTCACAAACATAGATGGGTACGAAAGTGGGTATAAGACTGTGTACAAAGATCATTTTTTATTAGGGAAAGTTCCCGAAATAGGACTAAAACAGTTTGAAAATTCCAAAATAGGACTGTCATGTTTTTTATTCCCAAAATAGGAGTAATTACTGTCAAGTTTGGAAAATACTGCCATGTTTGAAGTCTGGTACTGCCAAAACATGACAGTAATTAGTCCTATTTTAGGAATAAAAATATGGCAGTCATATTTTGGAATTTTCAAAACTTTTTAGTCCTATTTCGGGTAATATTCTCTTTTTATTATTGTATGGAGTATTTGGGACAAAAAATTTACAAAAAAGATGTTTGTATCCTCTTATATCCACTTTTGTACTCACCTATGGGCGAGGCTGGTGGTCTCTCCGGTGCAAAGGTAATTCCTTAGTTCATCTTTTAACCTTGTAAAATAAGTCTTAGCCTTGAAAAGGCCGTCCCCTTCCTCTTTGAGGAAATTTGATTTTGTTTGTAAGGTTGTTTAATCTTGAAAAAGGTTGTTTATTCATGCTCTCGTCTTCGTTAAGACTAAGTTGAGCTTCAGAATCTTAGATGAGTCTGGAATTTATACGCCCCATTAATTTACATGATTGCCCTACTTTTTCTTTATTTTGTACGCCTCATTAATTTTGTGTTATACTAAATTTAACAATAGTGTGTAGTTTGGTGCTTTTACTTGGGTTGAAATTTTTCGATTTGATTTATTTTTATAATTGTTGGAGTTTGGTCTGACCTGGTCTATTTATCACTTGTATGGTCCGATCTGATGCATTTAAATTGATTTGGATTGGACCCAATATAAGTAAAGCATCATAATTTAGTCTTCTTCTTAGAAATTTAGTATCAACCACGCAATTCAACTTCTTAAGAACGTATACATACCACTCATCTCCTTTTGTAGTCATATAGGAGGTATAATAAATATAAATAAGTAGTATAAATATAGGATCCGGTTAGAGTGAGGACTCTTCATAGAATGATTCAAAACGAGATAATGCATAGTTTTAACGGAAAAAATTTAATCTATTTACAAAAATGTCATTGCATTTTTGTGATTCATCATAGACACATTTCAATTTTATAGAAATTCATACAATGCTAAAATCATGTTCTCGGTGTGAATATAAGGATGTTTTTACTTGGACTGTAATTTGTTGGTCTGATCTATTTAAGCCTGATCTGGTCTAGTAAATGTCTGATTTTTGTGTATTTTATAGAAAGAATGACAAAAATACAACTCTCCGGTTCTGATATGACAAAAATAGGACCAAATTTCGTATGGACTAAAAAGGAGACGAATGGTCTTAAATGCCCCTTAACCCTAACGAACCATCCACTCGTCATTTTATGGACCTGCTTTGACTTGTAATATTATTTGAAAATAATACACTATTACAAGAAAGTAATACACTATTACAACAATTTTTTTTGAAAATATTTGAAAATAATACACTATTACAACTATTTTTTTTGGATTTATCCTTACTTCCATTACACTATTCAACTATCTTCACATGATACCCTCAATAATTTATATCATCTTTCACTATTCTTAATCAACCTACTTTTCAAATGGAAATATTTTAAAGTTACGGAGGGAGTATTATCTTTTATGTAGTATAATACTATTTGATTGTGGAACTAGAACCTTAATATTAATTGATCTTTAATAATAGGGAGAACTACCAAATAAGCTCTTGAACTTACATAAAGTGCAAATCATCACTTATATAGGAGACTCTGTCCCGCCGCCGTCATTTGGGCGGTTTCCAGTGGAATTTTTTTTATAAAAAATTTTGAGCATCTTATTAATTAAATTTAGTTTACTCATACCAAATTTCAGATAAAAATCCAATCGGGAAGACAGTTAAATGATTTTCTGAAATAACTGGCTATGGGCAGCACTAAAATTATCCGTGACATGAGCTTCGTACTATATTCTCCATTCATACAATCATGTGAATACATATACTTGAAGTTAGTTGCCAAAATTGTGATTCAAGCAATAATAGAGTAACAAGTGAGAATAAAGCCAACAAATAGTTCACGTGTAATTTACTTGCCAATAATGATAACAAAACTATTATTAGTTATATTAATATGAAATGTTTATGATATAAACATATATCTCGATGTGCTATATATACACATAAATTATTATGTAATGATATTTGAAAATGTATTTTTATTTAAGAATACAAGTTTATTCTATAAAACTTCTACTTAAAGTGCTTATTTTTAATGTAAAAGTTATGCACACTTAAATGTACTATTAAATAAAGTACAGTTTATATTACAATATTGAACTAATATTTATTCATTTTTATCTTCCCGAAGATATGGAGTTAATTGAAAATTCTCCAAGTGGTTTTGAACGACAGATATTTAATAGATAGTGCCACAACGCACACCATTTTGAGACATAGAGATTATTTTTCTCATATGACATTCGTTGAAGCTAATGCCAATACAATCGCAGGTGTTGCTAAACTCATTGAAGGTTCTGGAATAGCCTATGTGATTCTCCCAAAAGGGACAAAATTAATAATTAAAGACGGTTTATATCCCAGTAAATCACGGAGAAATCTTTTGAGTTTTAAAGATATGCGTCTAAATGATTTTCATATTGAAACCGTGTCTGAAAATCAGAAGGAATATTCATGTCCAACGACAAATAGATATGACAATAAATACATTTCTGAACAAATGCCAGCATATTCTTCCGGCTTGTATTATACATATATCAATCCAATTGAGATAAATGTGGTATCTAAAATCAATGAACACAATTCCTTTATCTTGTGGCATGACCGTTTAGGTCATCTAGGCATCATTATGATGCACAAAAATATTGAAAATTCACTTGGACATTCATTAACTAATGTCAAGATTCCACAATCAAGTGATTTTTCGTGCACTACCTGTTCTCTCCGCAAATTAATTATCAGGTCATCTTTATGCAAAATTGGAGTTGAATCTCCAGCATTTTTAGAAAGAATTCAAGGAGATATTTGTGGGCCAATTGCCCCTCCGTGCGAACCCTTTCGATATTTTATGGTGTTCATTGATGCATCAACACGTTGGTCACACGTTAGTCTTTTATCGACTAGAAATTTTGCATTTGCAAATCTCTTTGCTCAAATTATTCATTTGAGATCACAATTTCCGGATTATTCAATAAAGAAAATCCGAATTGATAATGCAGGGGAATTTACTTCTCAATCTCTTAATGACTATTGCATGTTAATTGGGATTGATGTGGAACATCCAGATCCACGTGTACATATACACAAAATGGTCTTGCCGAATCCTTAATTAAGCGATTACAATTAATTGCTACACCATTATTAATGAAATCCATATTATCATCATGTGCATGACTAAATGGGGATATTCTATAATGCATGCTGCAAATTTAATTCGGCTTAGGCCAACTGCATATCATAAATTTTCCCCATTACAATTAGTATGTGGTAAAGAACCAAATATATCACACATAAAATTAAATATTTGGTTGTTTTGTGTATGTACCAATTGCTCCACCTTATCGTATTAAAATGGGTCCTTAAAGAAGGCTGGGAATTTATGTTGGATTTAAATCTTCCTTAATTATTAATTATCTAGAACCTATGAGTGGTGACTTATTCACCGCGCGGTTCGATAACTGTCAATTTGATGAGACAGTATTCCCAGACTTGGGGGGGATAATAGAGAAATGGACCCACGTATGAAAGATATTACATGAAATGCAACAAATTTATCTTTTCTTAATTCGCGCACAAATGCTTGTAAACAACAAAAGATTATTCGTTTACAAAATGTTGCAAACCAATTGTCTGATGCTTTCACAAACTCAAAGAAAGTGACAAAGTCACACATTCTAGTTATGAATGCTCCTTCTCGAATAGAAATATCTATGGAGATCAGCGAAAGAACTTTTGCTAATGAATCTATGATAGGTAAAAAACGTGGTAGGCCACTTGGTTCAAAAGATTTGAAACCAAGAAAATTTAAAAGGCAAGATGTAGTTTGTGATGCCAAAGAAGTTCAACCTTCTCAAGAAGAAAATGAACATTTTGAAAATATTGGCTTTGAAGATAACATCAATAATAATGATACCTCAAAAGAGGATCCAATCACCTTTGAAGAGGTAAATATTCCAGATAAAGATAGAAGCGTCGATAATTTCAAAATTTCAATTAATTGCGTTTCTAATGGAATACAATGGAATAGAAAAGATATTGATATATTTTCATATGCCATCGCCACAGATATAATGAATGAACACGAAGACAATGAGCCTAAATCTATTCACGAATGTCATCGTAGAAATGATTGGCCAAAATGGAACGAAGCAATTCAGATAGAACTAAAATCGCTAGAAAAGAGTAGTGTTTTTGGACCATAAATCACTCTCAATCTTTTACTTTATATATCAAAAGTTTATGAAATTTGAATTATTTTTTGCAGGCTTTGTAGCGGTTTTAATGTAGTTTGTGAATATGTAAATTTTATTTTCTAAAACTAATTTGAGTGTTGTTAGAGATCAATTTGCTTTATCGTCGGTCAAACATCGTAAACCGTAAAGTATCATACAAATTGGGACAGATGGAGTAATTGAATTAGTCATCTTCCAACTATTTCTGATTAGGAATTATTATCACCATTAAATTCATAATTAGGAAATCATAATTATGATTTCAAGGTGATAAATGTGTGGCTAACAATGATCTCCTAATCTCATTGAGCTGACATTTTCTCCTATAAATAAGAGTCATTCTCATTATAATAAACACGCCATTAGAACATCTCTAATACACCTCTATCACTAAGTGTTGATACTATACTTTCTCTCCATAATTTTCTGCTTATTTCATTCCATTTTATAACAAGTTCAATTTAAAATGAATATGAGTTCAATTATTTGAATTCGTCATATATTACAATTATTTTAATTATAATCCCTTCAAGGACTCTCTTATTCCAAATTTATTACTTCCAACTACGAAGGAGAGTTTCCTCACCTTCCCCTCCTTTTCCCCTCCAACAACATACCTTCAAAGCATCCCCTTCCTCTTCCCTCCAAACTCCCAAACATACCATTAAGAAATGGGAACATAGGGGCGGGCTGCAGCCCCTCGATAAGCATGAAGCGTGGGCGTCTAGGACTCTGGGCAACAAGCGTTCGTAGATTCTGCTATTCGGATGGACTCTGAAGGTGGCTACGTAGATCCTATAACCTTTAAAAGTGTTCCCCGCGGTAGAAATCTCCGTGTATTATAAAACTCAGTTGGACTGAACAGAATTTAGCCGCTAAGCGTTCTGCTTTCTCTCAAGCCTTTGGGCTATTATATTGGACAAAATGTAACTGAAAATTCAGCCTACTCAAGACCTAATACAAAGAAAAATTTCAGAGCCTATTTTTTGTTTTCATTTTTGTGTGCACCGTAGATCAACAACTTCATCGCCTCGAGCTTCATTGTGGCGAGTAGTCTAGGATTTTGAGTCAATTCCCTAAATAGGACTAAAAAGTGGAAAAATTGCACAAATAGGACTACATTTTTTAAATTCCCTTAATAGGACTATTTATGTGTGTTTGGACAAATATACCCTTGTAACTTGTGAAATGTTTTAATTAATAATAAAATCATAAAAAAATTAATAAAAATCGAAAAAATACTAAAAATCGTAAAAAAATAATAGAAAATTAATAAAAATATTTTTTTAAAAAAATAAAAAAAAAAATTTTAAAAAAAATAAAAAAAAAATAAAAAAAATCATAAAATTAAAAAAAACACATTACCACCCCTTCCACCCCCAACACCACCATCTCCCATCACCGGACAAAAATATGCCAACATTTTAAATAATGCCATAATGATGGCATAATCAATGAAAATGTTGGCATATTAAAGAGTAATTATGCCATCTTTTTGGCATTTTCAGAAAAATATGGCATTTTTTTACCAAAAGTGGAAGAAATTTCACCAATCGGAGGTGGTGGTGCTGGGAGGCGGCGGGAGGCGGTGAGAAAGGTATCCATAATTTTTTTCATTTTTTATGGGTTTTTACTATTTTTTATTATTTTTTTAAAAAAATTAAAAAAATAAAAAATTAAATTTTTTATTTTATAAATGTTTATAATTTTTTATAAATTTTTTTACGTTTTTTAAATATTTTTTTACGTTTTTTGTGATTTTATTATGAATTAAAGCATTTCATTATGAATTAATACTCTTAGGGGTATTTAGGGTAGAAAATCAATGTTTAGTCCTATTTAGGGAATTTTAAAAATAGTAGTCCTATTTGTGCTTTTTAGGAACTTTTTAGTCCTATTTAGGACAATTTCCGTAGGATTTTTGGGTAGGGAGGCAAAGGGTAAATAGTTCAAAGTATAATTTATTAGTCAGTTAATTGGCTTAACACTTAAAGGGGAGGTTAGTTTTGAATAGTTTATTTAGTACAAAGTATTCCGTATTATTTATTACATGGTTAACATATGCAGCTTTTCCATAAAAAAAATGCAGTTTTTATATGTTCAAAATTAAATATATAAAATAGCACAGTTTCAAAAGGCAACAAACATTATTTCAAAAAAGACAAGAGTCAAGGATAATTGCGGGAAAACTTTATGGTTTTTCATGTCCTCTTTTTACGCATGCACAATTGTATGTTGTGGATTTGAGGGTGACAAGTCATTTGACTAAAGTTCATCATAAGCGATGAAAAAAATTGAAAAACTAAAAAACGTTGTCGACAAAGTCGTCAGCCCCTAACCTAATTTGTGTGCTTATTAATCATCTATTTTTTTTTTGAGAATTTAATCTTCTAATATTTATTACTACGTATTATTTATTTGCAAATTCTCCCATTCTTGTGATAAGTTACTATATGATTTTTAAATGCCACTAAATAGATGCATATTACATCTCGTTCAAGTAAGAATGAAATACTAATTTATTTTAAATTTCAAGGAGTTTTAAACAAATTGAATTGTTCATGTGAACAAGAAAAAGAGATAATTGTCAAGTACCTTGTGGTTCGATGACATCACTGTGACACTCCCAAGTCTTAAGGAGGATGTCACAAGTTCGAAACTCATCCGAGTCAAGGATGTTGACATTTAACAATGAAGTATTGAACATATATTATAAAGAGAGACTACAAAGTCTAGCACAAAAAAAGGATAGTTTGGATAAGGGGGAATTTGACTTTGCACTCTACTTTTTATGTTGATATTATACTTTGCACCCCATTTTAAAAAAACATTGATTTTGCGCCCCATTTCACTTCAAAATCCTTTGTGCACTCCATTTAGAAAATTTCCTTCACAAATGTTACATGACAGGGTGCAAAGTCAAAAGTCTTTTAAAATGGAATGCAAAGTCCAATATCACCTGAAAAATGTGGTGTAAAGTCAAATTCTCCCTTATTGGTGTACACAAAAATGTATACACCTTTTGTACATTCGTCTGTCTCACGCACAAAGAATTGTCTGTCCACAAACAACTCTACATAATTGTTTTTGCATGAGATAGACGAATGTACAAAAGGTGTACACATTTTTGTGTACACCAACAGAGACAGATTCAGGATTTCAAGTCAAGGGGGGCGAAATTTTTCGTTAGTGTAGGGGGTGAATTTTTTTTCGCTAGTGTAGCAAGGCAGATTTTTTCCCCTAGTGTAGAGGGGGGAATTTTTTTCGCTAGTGTGAGGCTATGCAGCTATTTTCATTCAAAAATTACACTAATACATAATAAATGACATTTAAATATATTACATTCTAAGTTTAGACAATGTCAAGACATCAACCAATAAATTTTAAATAACTTCTACATTGTTTAACCTCATGAATCGGTTTTTGAATCGTAATTTTTATCTCCCATTTGGAGGGTGTTCATGAGTCATGATCATGGAAACTTTTAATTTATATATATATATGAATTATATATTATTTTCAGAATAATATTATATTTCTAATTCACACACACACACACACATATATATATGGTGCATATTATATTTGTATTAATGCTAAAATAGTTTAAAATTTATTATATATGCAATAATTATTTTTAGAAGGCAAGAAATAAATGAATTATGTAATTTAATGTCAATAAACATTTATATTTTGGATTCATTTCATATGATCTAAAAACTGTGTAATTAGTGTGTCTGATATTTAATATCGTTTGATATATATTTTATGAAATCGAGTAGTTGTTATCTGATAAAGATAATTAAACATTACAAAACTAGGAATTTCTATATAATAAGTATCCTAAGTCTTAAACAATGAGTTGCTCTATCGTTTATTTGTTTAAGTTATGTAAATTATTTTAGATGTTCCTTCTTTTATTGAAAGGTGATGTTCTTTTTTTTTTAAATCTCCAATTAAGTATTACATTATGTAAGACTATATATTAATTTTGAAATTTAGAAGTAAGGGGGGCGAATCTAATTAATTTATGAAAATTTTATTAAAATATTACATATATAGTAGAAAATTTTGAAAGTCCAAGGGGGGCGGTCGCCCCCCGCGCACCCCTTAAATCCATCCCTGTACACCAAGCACCGCCCTTGGATAATACTCCCTCAATCCCGCTAAGATTGTCTCATTTTACCTTTTTCGTGAAGTCTCACTAAGATTGTCTCATACCAAATTTGGTAAAGTTTGTGTGGCTCTAAATCATTTTTACTTAATTTTTACTTTTTTAATTCACTATCAATCACATAAACCCACTTTTCTAAATAATCGTGTCACCTTCTTCCGTCCCTACTGGGGTTGTATGGTGTAATTTGCAGAATTGCAGGGTAGTTTGCTAAAAATTCCGTAATACGTGGTACTCCCTGTGACATTACCGAGGCGGGGGCACTTTCGTCACCACAAGAGCAGTTGGTTGCAGAAAAAGAGAGAGCGTGAGACCGGTGGTGAAGGAGAAAGAGTGAGAGTTTGAGTGAGAGAGATTTCCGTGAAATGGCGAGAAGACCGGATGAAGAGTACGATTATTTGTTCAAAGTTGTGCTGATCGGAGATTCAGGAGTAGGCAAATCTAACCTGCTCTCCCGATTCACCAGAAACGAGTTCTGTCTAGAGTCCAAGTCAACCATCGGCGTTGAATTCGCCACTCGTACTCTTGAGGTCATTCCCTTTTCTTCTTTGTGCTATTTATCCTCCCCAATTGATAGCATTCCCTTCAAATTCAACCAGTATCTATTGCACTTGCGTACAATGGTTGCTCAGTTCTGGGTTTTGCACTTTTTTAGATCTGTGATTCTTAGTGTTCCGCGCATGTTAATGTATGTATTCGTCAATGTGATTTCCATTTTTTCGTACTCCGTATTTAGGATCTGAATAGCCATTTGATTGGTACTGTTCGGCTGGATCTTCTCTGTATTGACATTTTAACGGTTTAGCGTCACAACTTTGTAGCATCTATTGTGTTTTGGTCTATCAGTAGGAATTGATCTGTGTTCGGTGTACCATAAGTACAGATGTTGAAATTGATTAACCAGTTATTCTCTTTTTGTTATAAAATGACTAAATGAGCGTGACGAGTGAATCAAATTAACACATTTACATTCATTTTCTGACTTAAAACTTAAAAGTATTGAATAATCAATTTCACAATTCATACACATATGCATGGATAGTGAAATTGATGATTCTATACGTCTCATTAAGAATATAACGAGTATATAATTGAGCTGGATCATACTAAGGCGATGGATTGGGACGGATTTGTAACTTTCTATTAGTAGGGAAAAGCTCTCAATTTTGTAATTTATCACTTGCACTATCCGTGTTTAATCTGATCTTTTCAACTTTCAAGGTCAAGATTAAGTTGTTTTCCTTTGGGTTTTTTGGATGGGGATTTCATCTGCGCGACTCAGACCTCTCAGTTTTGACCTGTCACAATTTTGTAAATTTCATAGTGACATCTTTAGGCTAGGGTTGCTCTAATACGACATCATAACAACTCTTCTCTTAATTATTTGGTTGGATGGATGGTTTTGTGTCTCCTGATAATTTTTCTAGCTCCACTAGTCAAATGCTGGATTATGCGTAGCTACTAGCTAGTTTGCCCACAAATGCCAAATGAAACAAAAGTGCAACATATTGCCTGTTGTTAATCAGCATGGGTTAGTTGGAGACTTAGAATCAGGGTTCTGAAAGGTCATGGAGAAAAAGACTTGGAGGGCATAATCTATATCTTGATAAATATGTATTAGTTTGCTAAACTAATGAATAGTGATAAGGTGATTCAGATGTTTGTATGCTCACCTTTGTTGTTACTTCGTCAATTTGTATAAAATCTCACATATAGGCCAACATATAGACTTAGCCTCTGGAACGTAGCTAGGTCAAATTGAGGGTCCTGGGTATGCCGCCATCTGTACTCGTCTCTTTCAAAACTATTCATTGACCTCTATCCGATGGAGGGGTTGGTCGTTTGGAGGGTCTATGAGGTGAATACTTTTCGGGCTTATTCCACATCTTGATATATACGTAGTATATGTATATCTGAGACTATAAATTTGAAATATTAACAAAATATGTGATTGTATGATATTCCGATCACCTCTTATTCGCTCTACAACTTTCTACATATATAGACTAAGCCCTCCAAAACCCTCAATCCAAACAAGATTGATGGTTCAGAATCTCAATGTTGTTCATAAGATGATTGAACCTGGAGGCTGGAGGAGTCACTTATCAGGAATAACAGCTATTTGATCAGTCTGCAGTTAGTATATTTGTTCTTATTAGTTTGGAATTAGATTGGACTTCTCCCTCTCGACATTTATGATTAATAATGTTTTGCTATGTATAGGTTGAGGGAAGGACGGTGAAGGCTCAGATATGGGACACTGCCGGACAGGAGAGATATCGTGCCATAACTAGCGCATACTATAGGGGTGCACTTGGGGCTCTATTAGTGTATGACGTGACAAAACCAACAACCTTTGAAAACGTGAGCCGTTGGTTGAAGGAACTCAGAGATCACGCAGACTCAAACATTGTGATCACGTTGATTGGGAATAAGGCCGATCTAGCCCATCTCCGTGCAGTAACTACAGAGGATTCTCAAAGCTATGCCGAAAAAGAAGGTCTCTCTTTCATTGAAACGTCTGCTTTGGAGGCAACTAATGTAGAGAAGGCATTCCACACCATTCTTTCAGAAATCTATCGGACTATTAGTAAGAAGTCACTTTCTTCAGAGGAGCCAGCAATTGGGGTTAGTATTAAAGGAGGGAAGACTCTCGATGTTAGTGCCCAAGATTCTAACACCAAAAAACCTTGCTGCTCTACAGTTTGATAATTGTCATTGGTCGCTCCTTTTCTCCCATTCACACTGATGGCTTGATCTCTTATGGGTTTTTACTATTTCTGCTGTATTATTAATATTATTCTATTATTATTATATCATATTGCTATCTTTGTTAAGTTTTTTTCTTTTTGAGTTGAGTGCTATTTGAGGCTTTATTATATCCGATATATTTTGTGGCATGTGTATTTGTACTTGCAGGCTTTGCAGCTACCTGACTACTTATTTTATCTTCACAAAGTAGGATATAAATTAAGAAGGATAATGTGCTGGCACTGCTGGATACAGATGACGTGAGATTAAGAATATTGAAAGAAGATATAAATTATTGAGCGTATGATGGGAAAATAATGAAATAATGTGCTGGAATGAAGGATAAATAAAAAAAAGTACGGAGTAGTTGTAAACTTGTAATAGGGATAAGAATGACCAGGTATATGTACATCTGCATACGTACTATATTTACTACACTTTACGTACTAACGTACATGTACATTAAATAAAAAATAATGTGACCAGGTTAATTATGTGCTTATAGCTTTATAGTGGATTTGAAACTTTATCCACCCCCACAAGGAAATGTACATAGATTTACAAGAGAGAATGTGGTCAGTGATGCCTCATGGAAAATGTTGCATCAACAATGTAGATGTCCTCAACGCATAAGTCAATAGCCATGTCTTGGGGTTCGTTTGCAACTCCTACAAAAAGCACTTCTCAACTTTTGACTTAAAGAACACTTATTTTATCAAACACTACTAACTTTTATTTTTCTCGACTTTCGTGTCAAAAATGTTTTTGCTTTTTCTATTACACAAAAAACATTTATTTTATCAAACACTATCAACTTTTACTTTTCAAAATCACTTTTTTCTAAAACACTGTCAACTTTTACTAAAATCACTTTTTCCAAAAAGTGCTTTTTTTAAGCAGAAACAATTGCTAACACTCCCTTAATGAGCTAGTCATCGAAGTATACATAAATTAAATACGGAGTAAACTGTTTAAATTGAAACTAAAACTGATTTAAAATATGACTAAGCACCTTGTTAAGACTTAAACCCGTGATTCCATCTTAAAAGGTCAACCTGATAGGAGGAGAAACACATGTCTTAATATATCATTTTGATCATCCAAACTTTTTCGGTGTGGGACATTTAACACACCTTTTTCCAAAACAAGATGTATCTAGTTATAGAAAAGAATAAAATTTATAGGAAAAACTGTCACATAGGTTCTCGAACTTTCATAAAAAGGTCAAATAAGTCCTTATATAGGAGGCTTTGTCGGGCCGTCGCGATTTGGAGCGATTCCCGGTGGAATTTTTTTATGAATTTTTTTGAGCATCTTATTCATCAAGTCTAGTTTACTCATACCAAATTTCAGCTAAAACTTCAATCGGGAACACATTCAAATTAATTCTTGAAGATAACTGTGTGTTCCCGATTGAAGTTTTACCTGAAATTTGGTATGAGTAAACTAGACTTGATGAATAAGATTAAAAAAAATCATAAAAAATTCCACCGGGAATTGCCCCAAATTGCGACGGCCAGACAGACCCTCCTATATAAGGACTTATTTGACCTTTTATGAAAATTCGGGGACCTATTTGACAGTTTTCCCAAATTTATAAGAACTTTCTAAAATAGAAAATATGAGAGAATTAGTTTTATTTATAAAAAAACAGTGATTTAATTTGAAAGAACATAGTACATTAGTACACCGTAAAAATTGGTATGAGTAAACTAGACTTGATGAATAAGATGCTAAAAAAAATTTATCAAAAAATTCCACCGGGAACCGCCCCAAATCGCGACGGCCAGACAGAGCCTCCTATATAAGGACTTATTTGACCTTTTTATGAAATTTCGAGGACCTATTTGACAGTTTTTCCAAATTTATAAGAACTTTCTAAAATAGAAAATATGAGAGAATTAGTTTTATTTATAAAAAAACAATGATTTAATTTGAAAGAACATAGTACATTAGTACACCGTAAAATTTGTCAATTTTTCTATTTGTTTATTTCAAAAAGCTTTCCTTTTAAAGTAAATAATGTGTGATTCTTCTTAGTGGTGGACCGGGTCCATGCCCAATTCTTCTTATTCCGGTCTTCTTACTCTTCTACTCTTGTACTCCTTCCGTCCCATTTATTTTGTCCCGTTTTACCTTTTCGGGAAGTCCCACTTATATTGTCCCATACCATATTTGGCAAAGTTTGTGTGGCTCTAAATCATTCTTACTTTATTCTTACTTTATCAATTAATATCAACCACACAAACCCACTTTTCTTAATAACCGTGCCACCCTCTTCCGGGACAATATAAATGGGACGGAGGGAGTATATAATTTTCAAGAACAAAGGACTCAAGGTGGGGCAAGAGCCAAGAGGGGACTGCAACAGTTTCTGCTTAAAAAAACCACTTTTGGGGTGATTTGGAAAAAGTGATTAGTTGTAAAAGTTGATAGTGTTTGAGAAAAAAATGATTTTGAAAAGTAAAAGTTGGTAGTGTTTGGTAAAATAAGTGTTTTTTGTGTATAAAAAGGAGGAAAACACTTTTGACACGAAAGCCGAGAAAAGTAAAAAAATAGGTAATGTTTGGTAAATAAGTGCTTTTTAAAGACAAATGCTGAAAAATGTTTTTTTAAAGCTATTGCAAACCAGCCCTAAAAGATCCTTTCACTTCTCCTTTTCATTCTTAACTAAATAATTTTAACATTTCTAAATATTCCTATCATATTTTCAATATTTTTGTAAATAACACACTGTTATATTTTTTTTGAATTTATCTTTCATTTTATCATTCTATTTCACTATCTTTCCATTCTACTTCAATAATTTATATCCTCTTTACTATTCACAATCTATCTATTTTTAAAGTGGGAAAATCTTTTTTGTATCTGAGGAGTATATTTACTCAAAAAAAATTACTCTGTAACATACATGCATTTTATGCACCTTTTTTTTAATATTACCACTCTCCTACTCGGAATTCGCCATTTACTTTCAACAATATCATCACTTTTACATTTCTGAGGAAAGTTCATGTTAGGCCGGCCTGACGGGCTGCTCCGTCCGGCCGAGTCCGTTTGGGCACCTTTCCGGTGCATTTTTTTAATGAAAATTTTTGAGCATGTTCTTCATCAAGTCTAGTTTGTCCATACCAAATTTCAGCTCAAAATTCGATCAGGAAGGCATTCAAATTATTTTTTGAAGTTGACTGCAGTTTTATATGTGTATTTTGACGCAGTCAACTTCTAAAAATGATTTCAATGCCTTCCCGATCGAATTTTGAACTGAAATTTGGTATGGACAAACTAGACTTGATGAGGAAAATGCTCAAAAAAATTCATCAAAAAATTCCACCGGAAAGATGCCCAAACGGGCTCGGCTGAACAGAGGTTCCCGTCAGGCCTGCCTGACGAGAAGAGTCCCAAGTTACGGTTCTGATATGTCTTAAAACTTCGAGTGCAATTTTGTTCACTCCTCTTTGGAGGGTGAACATAATCCCCTCTCTATTTGTTTGCCGTGTGGGAAAAAAAAAATGAAATGTCAAATGTCAACAAAATTGCACTCTATCATCTACCCATCTTTGCCCTATTTACCACACTTGAAGAACTGCTACTTCGTATAACAGTTAAAACCCTAGTATATTTTCCTTACTCTGCAGCCATGAGTGATGATGGCCACAAGCTTGAGGGTAAACTTTCGTCCTCTAAAAGTCTAAAGTGCGATTTTCCATTTACTAATTTTGCTTGCACTTTTTTTGTGTTGCTTTTTATCAGTCTATTATTGGCATTGCTTGATTTTTTGTAAAACTTTTCCTCCCTTTTCGTTTGAAGTTTTTAGCTTATTATGGTGTTGGCGTTATTTACTTGCTTCGTCTGGTCAGAGATTTTGAACTTATGTAGATGTTTTTTTTTTGTCTGGAATGACATTCTACTGGAAAGTGGAAATACTTCTTCCGTGTATGATGCATTAACAATTTCCTAGTGTTAAAATGGCTGCACATAATCATGCTTATAATTTTGAAACAGGTGATTCGACTCACCCCGAATGCGAAGTGAATGAGATTGATAGTGTCGATTCCGAGGAAGATGATGAATATCCTGAATCTGACGGCGAGGAAGATGGCGAATATCCTGAATCTGACGACGAGGAAGGAGTTGGCTCTAACACGTTTGAAGAAAGACCCGTTTATTCTCCTGAAAGTTTGCAGCGTCGTATTTCCTGCTTCATACTTACCCAAAACGTAACTCCTCATATCGTGAAAAACAAGGATTTCAGAGACATGATGACATCACAATTTCCTTCTTTGACATTGGACCATGAGACCACCATGAAGCATTGCTTGACCCTTTTTGAAGAATCAAAGACTGAAGTCAGGCGCTTTTTGAACAGCATGGGTCGACTCGTTTGTCTTTCGGTTGATGTGTTAACTCGCTACAGTCAAATTGATGTTGGCCCTGATTTCATTTGTTTATCGGCAAGCTTCATTGACAATGAGTGGAAGTTGAGGAAATGGATTCTCCGTTTTAAGAAGTACAGTAATGGTGACTTTGATCAGTTTGTAGTGAAAGCCTTAGATGACTGGAATCTGAATGATGATAAGGTGTATACTTTGACGTCTCGGAAAGTTGATGCATCTGGAGATTATATCCAATCGACTAAGTCCAAGCTTGAGGGGAAGAACAGATTGCCTTACGATTCCCATATATTTTCTGTGAGGTGTTGTGCAGAGATGTTTGGTTTAATGGCTGAAGATGCATTTGGCGAAATATCTGATATCATTAGGATGATAGAAGAGTTGAACTGGTCAAAATCGGAATGCATGTGGCACCTAACGAACTCCAAGCTGAAAAATGCTTTGGAATTGGAAGCTCTTGGAGAGTTCAACTCAGAATTAGTAACTAAAAACTATTCTGTTCCATCTGCTGAACAGTGGGAGAAAGTTCGCATCGTCTATAAACTTGTCGAACTCGTGCATGATGTGGCAAAAAAGATATTTGAGGTTAAAAATTCAACTGCTAATTTATTTCTGTATAATTTTCCACAGCTTCGCACAAGTTTGGTTCTTGAAGCAAGTAGTCCAGATGCTTTCACTCTCAAACTTGCAAAGAAAATGCTAAAGAGGTTTGATAAGTACATAAAGAAGAATTACCTGGTCTTGGCCATCGCCTCCGTGATGGACCCACGTTGCAAAATGCAATTCATAGAGGATGTTTCAGCAAAACTTGAAGGTATAGATGGATTACCTCAAGCCAGTGCTGTTTTGGAGACGGTCAGAAGTATTTATGAACATAATGAAGCTGTTAAAGTCAATGAGGAGACAGTGAAGTCGGATTTGGATTTGTATCTAGAGGACCCTGTCTTGCCACGGGAAGAGAAATTCAATGTCTTAAAATGGTGGGAATCGGAAGGAGTTCTGAAGTATCCAAACACGTCTGAAGTTGCCCGTGAAGTTCTTGCTATTCCGATGTCAGTTGCAAGTTCGTTCAATGCATACTATTACTTGGAGAACAGACCCCCACCAGATGTATCTATAACCACTTCTGGATCTCAGGTAATGAATGCTGTGGTGTGTTGCAGGAGTTGGAGGCCTGAGAAACGTCTGTCTGCTTTCGAAATCAAGTTCCTCTTTCACTCCGCTGGTGTTAATATTTTCTAAGCTATTTATTCCTAAGCTGTTTGGGTCATCTCTTTTGAAACTTTCTGGATCCTTTTTGTTTTTGATAATATATCCAGGTTCTTGTTGAATGGCTCACCTAGCTGCTGCTGTTGCTAACTTTTGATTTGGCTTTTCGTCTACCTCTTGTTTATCTCTGTAATTTCCCGAATTCTGAAAACAATATCCTTTGTGAGTCTGTGACTTTGTGCCCTTTGAGCTTATGCTGCAATTACGCTTTTCTGCTTACTATTTTTTTTTTGGGGGGGGGGGGGGGGGGGAATATAGTTTGACACATCTACTCTTCTGGGTAGAGATTATACTACCTCCGTTCTCTTTTAAATGCAACGTTGGACTTTTTGCACTATTCACATGTTCCACTTTGACTACGTTTTATTTATTAATGTAATAATATATATTTTTGAAAAAAATATTGTTAAAATTTTCTCATTATAAATTTTCAAAATCTATTTTTTAAACTTTTTTTACTAATCGGGAATTATATATATTAATGGTCAAAGTTGTGCCTCGGCAAATGTGAAATGTTGACTGTTGCATTTATTTAAGAACGGAGGAAGTAGTAAGTAACTGCTGGGAAAGAAAGAAAAGTTTTACAAGTTTCTTTATTTATAAGCCCAACACTAGCGAGATAGGAGGAAGCTGGTATAGGTAGAAGATGTGAGTAATGTGACTCTTAGATTCGAGAAATCATCAAGTGTCAATGTGTCATTCATAGATTTTTAGGAAACTTCATAGGAAGTGCACAAATTTAATATAGTTTGCTTACCATTTTCAGGCAAAAAATACAGTTTGACACATGCACTCTTCTGAGTCAAGATTAGGGCTGGGACTTTGGAACCAAGAATCGGAGAACCGAACCGGACTGAACCGTTATGACCCGGTTCGGTTCGGTTCCAACATTTATTAGTTATTTGTTAACGGTTCGGTTCCTATTTTTATTAACGGTTCGGTTCTCGGTTTCTGAAAAAAATATGTACCAAGAACCGTTAAGGAACTGTTATATATAATAATTAAAATTATATACATATTCTTAGGAGTATATATATTTTAATGCATATTTACTTACTTATTTTTATATTACATTCATTGTTTTAGTTTTGTTATTTAACTATTTAAAACTATTATTCAATTCAACCGGTTCTCTTAGACTTCTTAGGCCTCTCATTAGGTCCAAACTCCAGCGGGTCGGAACTCGAAAGGTCCAAACTATTTAAAATTATTAGTTCTCCTTAACTGGTTCAACATATTTGTATTGTAATTTCCAACGTTGAATGTATTTTTGCCAAAAAATTAGTTGTAATTGTAAGAATTTTTTCAAAAACTAGGAACCGTTAAATGACAAGAACCGAATCGATAAGAACGGTTCGGTTCCTTATCGGTTCTATAAAATAATTTATAAGAACCGAACCATTAGTAAAATTTCATATTTTCAAATGGTTCCACATATTTTGCCTAGGAACCGAATCGGTCCCAGGCCTAGTCAAGATAATACTAACTTAGAGTATCTCTAATGGTTGCTTCTAGGGACTTGCTTGCAATTTTGAAGCTATTAGCCCACCATTGGAGTGCATCTTTGTTTCTAGCTTGGACAAGCAAATTAGCCAAAACAAGCTAATTGCTAGAAAGGATAGAAACTTGGATTAAAATGGTAAGTATCAAATATATTTAATTTATTTGTAATTGATATATTATATTAATTAATTATGCAACGGTAAAGTGAGTAATACAACAATCAAGTTCCAAATTAAAAGTGATTTCAATCTCTTCCTCTTAATTATATATACCGAATGGTTTTAAAAGTTAGTTTAACAATATTTTATCCTACTCCCCCACTACTCTTATTTTTTTATACTTAAAAAATTAGTGTACTCTTCAAATGGAGAACTATGAAAACCTATACAACAAGTATTACTCCATTCTGAAAAACTCTTCAAGCACCGAAAATTCAAACTCTCAAAATTTCACCTCACATATATCAACCTCAATAATTCCTACAGTCCAGCCAATTTCCCAAAATTTTCAGCCAAGAAGAGATGCTAATCAATATCATCGACATCGTTATGATACAAATTTTTCATTTCCACCAAATAAAGGAATGCATGATCATCGTGGATATTATAATCCGCATATCCTTATTTTTTTACTTAACAAATACATTTTATTTTTCTGATTTTAATTATATGCATTTTCATCAGTGTTGGGCGTTGGATTAATGTTTGGTCAAAGTCATAGTTGATTAATATTTTTTATTATATTAATAAATCAATTCACTCAAAATGTGTATTTTTAAAATTGATTAATTTGTGAGGCCTATTCAAGAGACAAGCATTGTGGTTAACCATTGGACTATCACATTGCTTGAAAATGAATTAACTAGAAAAAAAATGATGAGGCAAGCAAAGCTACGACATGTTTAGCTAACCAATGGAGATGCTCTTAAGCCTCACCTCATACAATACTTTAGACTTGCTTTGTTTAATGTAATTGTAATATTTCTGTTAAGGACATATTTGTGGTGTGGACGTGTTAGATACTACGTAAATTACATAGAAAGATGATAAGCAATCGAAGTATAGATGTAGAGCCCGTTTGGTAACACTAAAATTGACTGTATTAGTTGATTTTGTTGAAATTTATGAAGTTCGGACTGAAGTGACTGTATTGGCTGATTCTGCTGATTCATGAAAAAATTATATTTAAAATATTTGTTATTAATAAATAAAATAAAAAATTATATGAAAAAATAGCTAAAATGATCTTCTACAATAACTTCAGCCAATACAGCCAGAAAAGTAACTCCAACCTTACTTTTTCTGCTTATTACACAATTCAACGCACGAAATCAAAAGTTACGTGTTTGGTGAAAAAGCTGGTTGATAAGCCTTATAAGTCGAAAAAGGAGGTCACCAAACGGGCTCGTAATCTTATGAAGACAAGTTAGGATATTTTGCGAGTTTTGGTGTTACTTAGTTTCAAATTGTGGACAAATTGATGTGTTCCATATTTTGAAAAATAAAAATAGAAATCCTTCTGCGAACCTAGCATATACTCCGTGACTCCGTGTTGGGTTACAGGTTACTAATAAAATAGTGGCTTATTCAAAAATCAATCTATTAATTATTTTAATTTTTCCCAAGAAATTTTATTTTTGAGTTAACTATAACTAGTGTAACATCTAAAAGATCACTGAGAGAAAATATAGTATGAACACTTAGTGATAGAGGTGTATTAGAGATGTTCTAATGGTGTCTTAATTACAATGAGAATGACTCCTATTTATTGGTGAAAGTGTGAGCTCAATGAGATTAGGAGATCATTGTGAACTACATATTTATCACCTTGAAATCATTATTATGACTTTCTAATTATTTATATAATGGTGATAATACTTTCTAATCAAGAATGATTGAAAGATGACTAATTCAATTATACTACCTTCGTCCCGCTAAGATTGTCTCATTTTATCATTTCGGTTCGTCCCACTAAGATTGTCTCATATCTTATTTGGTAAAGTTTATGTGGCTCTAAATCATTCTTACTTTATTCTTACTTTATCAATTCAATATCAACCACATAAATCACTTTTTATAAATTTGTGTATCACTCCCTCTTATCCTATTGTTAGTAGGACGGAGGGAGTATTTCAACAGTTGTATATACGGAGTAATTCTTTTTTTATGCACGCGGATCAACGAGTAAAAATTAAAAAAGACTACGAGTCTACGAGTATCAATTGTTAGAGAAATTTCGATTGTGCACTTTTTTATAAGTTGCAAGATTTTATTTATTTATTTATTCATTTGACTTTTTTAGAAGAAATTTATTCATTTGACTTTATAAAATTGGACGATAACTTTTGTTATTGCATTGAAGCCACAATATTTGATATTTCAATTTACTATAGTATTGCCATCACGTGTTGGAATAGTAAAATTTGATGTCTTATTTATGAAGAAAATTGCTGGAAAAAAAAATTAAAAAGAGAGGTTTTAAGAATATTATAGAAATAAAACCTATTTACAAAATATAACTAAAGTTGCTATTACTTTGACAAAAATCACTACTATAGTAACTACAATTAAGATGTCACATTTTTGTAAATTTAATACTCTTTAATTTAGTAATAATTTTTTAATTATTTCTAAAGAATATAAAATTTGAAAACATGAGCATCATATTTCCCTCTAAAGTTGGAGTATGCCATGCCATTATAAAATTTACGGTCATGTTTTGATATTACTTCAATTTAGTACTATTAAAGGAAAAAAACCCTTTAAATGTGACAACATAGTGACATAGTTGGTAATCCTTATACGCGATACAAATCAATCTTCACCATTCATTTAAAATATCTTCACGGTTCATTTAGAATAGATCTTTCACCCTTTATTGAGTTATTCTATTTTAGGATTTTTAGCTATTACTCACGGGCCACCGGCAAATCTCACGCTACCCAGCTTCCTTCAGTTCTCTGCACATTTCTAGGTATCTTTCAACTTCTTCACATTCTCTTCTTCTCCGCCTAAAAAACTGTTGTCCGGCCAAAGAAAACAGAAACCGCCGCTACAAATTAAAGCCAAAGGCTGCCTTTTTTGTTTCTATTTCTGCCATTCTCTTCTTCTCCGCCTAAAACTCCAGCGTCGAAGGCAAAAAAAGGCCGCTACAAAGCCAAAGGTTGCGTCTAGACGGCACTTTGTGCTGAATTGGTATACCTCTGTAAAAAAATATGAAGCCGTGATTTTTTTTTAGGAAAAATTGAAAATAATAATCCCAACTATTGCCGGTCCGCTGAAAATAATCCCAACTATTGATTATTTTTGTATAATCCCAACTATATAGGTTATCTGCCAATAATGGTCCATGACCATATATTACATCTATAAAAAGTGAATTTTAAATAGAAATTAAGCGTAAAAATTAAAAGTTGAGATTATTTATAAGGATTACTTGTTATATCTCATCTCATCCACTTTAGAAACTACAAGAATTTATTCATAGGGACCATTATTGGCGGAAGGTCCCTAAAGTTTGGATTATTCTGTAATAATCAATAGTTGGGATTATTATGAGTGGACCGCCAATAGTTGGGATTATTACTATCAATTTTTCCTTTTTTTTATCAACCATTCAGTTTTTAACATTGATTTTTTAAAAAATAAAATAAAATAGCTTCTATACATAACACCAATGTTCTGTCATGGACACATGGTTGGTTGAATCCTTTGTTGTTT